CAACAGGACATAAATATTTCGTGCACGCCATTTACATAAGGATACAGAGTAAATAAATTTTCTGTAGAGGATTCGTTAGTTTAACTTAATATAAATTTTCTAGTATATTACATTCTTCAGTGCACGGATATTGCCTAAAAAAAGTGGACCTAAATTTCAAAAGTTGTCGTATAAAAAAATAGAAATAAGTCTTATATATACCTGTTATTGGTATAGATTTCTTCGCAAATTTCAACAAAAGTGGCTGATATTGATCTATGTGTTACTCCAGATCATAGTACCTATATATAGATCGCGTATTAAATTTCATCTAAATCTGTCCAGCCGGTTTAGTATGAAGAACTAAGAAGTAACAACTCATACAATCTTTCACATTTATAATAGTAGTCTAATACGAATAGATAAGATACGTTTCTTCGTAATATTCATTTTTGCCATTTTAATATTAGTAAATTTCTTTGCAAAATATTTAACTTTCATTACTCTGTACATACCCTCGCGCCAAACGTGTGCGGATTTCATATCACGACTGTCGACAAATATGGAGAGAACTTTTCATAAGCTGAAACAAGCTTTGTCGAGGTAAAGTTCCACTAACGTGATCTACATTAAATTTCGGTATGCATTATTTTTTAAAATATTTAAAAATCAATTACATCCTATGAAATATGATTAAAAAATGTGTGTGTTTGTTTGTCCTTATTTCACGCAAAAACGAAATAAAGAATTGACGAAATATGTATCATCAAAATGTGAAAGTAATTCTGTTTATCTGTCTGTTACCTTTTACGTAAACTGCTGAACAGTTACCTTATACTTAAACTGCTGAACAGATTTTGATGTAATTTGGAAAGGAACCTACCATCTAGAAAATGGACAAAGGCTATATTTTATCTCCGAAAAGCTTACCATGAAAAATTGCCTTATATCCTCCTTTCACGCCAAAATAGAGCGATTTTATATGTAGTTGAGGGAGTAGAGTGACATAATCTAGTTTTTATTGTAGAAAAATATCATATTTTCACTGTAATAAAACAAAATATAGTATATTACGAATTATCATTGACATAGTATCTATCAGTACTAATGTTATAGTACAAAGTAGAGTAGGTATATTTATAGGTTCAAAATAGGTATCTTCTATCTATTTATTCTATATATGAATATAATAAAATTGTAACTAAGCGGAATCTGTACATTAAATATTTTTTGGAAAATCTAATTGAAACAGACATTATTATCGATACAGAGGCCGAATCTATAGTTTTTAGTATTTTTGTCTGACTGTCTGTCTGTGACCGCATCTTGGAAAAACCATACTTTTTATAGCGGGAAAATATCTCATCTCTCAGAAATCTATACTAAACGTTAAAACATAATTGCTAGTTTATAATATAATAGAGAATAGAGAATGTCTACGAGCTTGAGAGCGACATTAATAGCTTCTGTTTACTTATGAACGGTGCATGTTATCGGTACTTTATTAAATGGAAATGAACTAAAGGGCGACATATTTTCCCCCGTTTTGTCAGATTTTCTCCGTGTATTATAAAAAGTAAGTATTGTAGACGTAAGTAATGTTGTAACAAATTATACCTCCTAGCTTTTACTTTGCGGATTCTCATGCTGGTCTATTTCGTGACACATAGAACTCTAATATTTGTAATGTTACTATGTTTTCTATTATCTGGTATAGGTCTAAGGTCTAGGCTGATTTTTCGTTCATTTAGTCTAAACTAAGTATTATATGATCGACTACCGACTTACCCTCACTTCGCAAATCCATCAGCCTGTTTCTGAGTGAAGAAACAACAAGCATACACATGCACACACACATACAGACAAACAAACTTTCGCATTTGTAATAATAGTATAATTTACTTATGGATTTCTAAAAAAATTGCGTATACTATATATTACTTTCAGTATTGTATAAGAATATTTTAAGTTTAATAATAAAAGTCCTTTCCATACAAATACATAGGTCGCGTGTCCGAATGCGTGTGCGCAGTTATAATTAGTTTATGTGGTGTCTCTTATCTCCCTAACCAGGGGACGGTCCCCTTTGGTACTCTATGAGATGACTTTTAAAATAAAAAATGTAACTTTTTTAAAGCAATTAAAAAAAATACAATTGCGATTTTGGTATTTATTCAAGATTTAACCATTGAATATGGTTAAAGAAGAGAATTTATTGAAAGTTTAAACTAATATTTCATTTGATATAAATTATTCTAGTTCACTGTAACAGTACCTACTATCTACCTACCTACTTTCGTACATATTCATATCATATACATATTAAACAACATAGCCAAATAATAAAGATTCTGAGTTTAAAGTGTCCCATATGTAAATTTATTACAGGTTTAACATTTTTTTCTAATGAATTTATGTGTTATTGTCAGTTTTTGGTAATTACTATACCTATACATAATTGCTATAGAAATATTTTCGAAAAATTACAAAAAATAAACATTTTTTACCATTAATCACACAAAAAACAGCTAACTCCTAGACTACACATCGAGGGGATACCAACCCTTCTTCATTAGCATTTTAAAACGGGGGCCACTCGATCAAATGAGTAACTTACATCAATACAACATCACCCCTTATATCCGCATGTACATGGCTTAAATTTCTACACCATAGAAAAAACATGAAATTTTTAAGTCTATCGACAAAGAACGCTTATATGAAAGATTTATGGGTCATTCCGATTTTATTTACAGGACAGATTGTGTTAGATAAAGACCTTTCATTGTTCAATAGTAAGCTATTGTTGACTTCATACTTCGTATTGATAATTTTTGATTCGCCCCATTACTTTTCAATAGTGAATCCGTCATGAAATATGAGATTAAAATATTTTTGACTATTAAAATATTTTGTAGAACCCGCGGCTTCGTTTGACTTGGCTAAAACTACTAAGAAATATCTAAAAAGGTAATTTCATACAAACTTTCGTAACCCTATTTTACCCCCTTATAGGATGAATTTCGAAAAATGCTAAGACACGTATTTATTTAATTTTATTGAATAACATTAATAGAGATCTATTAATTCCCACGTGAACCGTTCATTTTTCTGGGATGAAAAGTAACCTGTTGTTTGAACGGCAATATAAGGTATCAGAATGTTAAATTTTACTAAATTAGGTGCATAAGTTGTTGTGTACTAAGCTGTATAAGATACTATAGATTTTTTAACTATCCCACGGGAACTCTTTAATTTTCCTGAATGAAAACTATCTTACATGTTGTCCGGGACAGACATTCGACCTTTACTGTTTTATTATAGTATAGAAGATATTATATATTCAAGTAATTCTGTTCATGAATATTTTTTTGGATTGTATTAGAACGTGTTTTCCCATAGGAATTAGGTAATCTCCGCAGTAAAAAGTAGCCTATGTCACTCTCCAACCCTCCAAGTATCTCCACACAAAAAACCATGCCAATCCATCACTTCGTTTCGACGTGAAAGAAGGGCAAACAAACAAACACACTTTCACATCTATAATATTAAGTATGGATTTAAATATATTTCGATTCATCAAAATCACGAACGGAAACATACGCTTTATATTTTTTTCAAAGTACAACTTTGTGTTAGACAATAAATATTTAATCTAACTCTTCTTCAGATTAACGTATCTGATTTTTCTATGAAATGGCCCACATTGTATATCGTATTTGAGAGAGAGATATGATAATCTATCGTTTATAATAATAAAGACTGTTGACTGTTGAATTATAATTTTACTATATCTTAATTCTAACCACCATTAAAAGATATCGATAGAACAAAAATTTAGACTTTTACAGACTTTTAGATTTTGCACCTGGCAAATACTAAAAAAATTGATATTTTTCTTTTAATTTATTTTGACTTTAACTTCTAATGTGTCTCAAATCTCACTTATAAATATATAAAAAAATATATATGACTACTTTTTCACAATTCATTGAAACTATTAACTTTATTCGTGTAGTATATTAGATATATTGTTTATTTATTATAAAACTTAAATATGAATATAAAGTAATGTTTGTTATTTGAAAGATAATAACTCACACCATCTGAATAACGTATAAATGTCAAAAAAATATCTCTTTTCATTATAAAGGACAATTTATTTAGAGACACTTAGCAATCTAGAACCTAAGTAAGATAAGCTTTAACATGATTATACATACTAAGTAAACTAAAGCTCGTTTGGCAATCAGCCGTCATTTTCTCGAGCTTAAAGTTTGAGCGTACCTGTGCAGTTAAACAGTATATTCAACTGCGCAAGCATAACTACATATTTTACACGTCCGATTGGGCTTCACATGTCCTATTACCTTTCTATACTTGTGTTAAAATTATATGGTCTCGTTTACAAATTTTAGTATTTATTTTAATTACATTTCAATATTATCTTCCATTTAAATTTCACTTTTTAGTAAAATAATGGCTTAGAGTGATCATGATTTGACCAAGATAATTTATCTAAAAATATTATTCCTCGAATATATCTCCCAGATAAGATTACATGCTACTTCAAAGTTAAAAAAAATGCAATACTGAGTTCATTCAAACAATTATAATTTTTATTGAATTATTTTCAAATCAGCGTATATCTATAGTTATATATATATTAGATCAATTTCTCTTCAGTTCGCCGGTAAATTCTATTTATTTTTAGACCCGCAACAGTGCGAATGCACTTTTGGCAACCCACTCTTCCTCATTGCTCATGGCATCTCAAAAATGCTCGCGACGCAATCAATATTAAACTTTATGCTGCTTTGGTTAAGATTCATTTTGAAAGCGAAATTTATGTAATGACATTTTATGCTATGACACGTAGAAGTTTTCGGATAAGAATAACAACTGACACACAATTCGATCAGATGAACATAGAAAGTAGAATTGCACAGTCGTTTATTGATATAACGTAGTAAGTTATCGCTAAAATAATTACGTGTTTGTGAAAGTGATCGGAATATAAAATGAATTCAAAAAAGCATAAAAGTAAAAATCGTGCTAAACCTCCCCCTAAAGCTGCTCCAGATTTACAGGAGGATGCTAAAGCAGAAAATTTGGATAACCTCGCACAAAAAGACAGCAATATACAACAGCAAACTGAAATTATAAAAGAAGAACAAAAAACTGAATCAATGGAACCAAATAGTGAAATTAAAGACGCAGACAAGGAAGAAAAAGTGATTTGTGAAGTCCCTAAGAAACCAAAGCGGAAAAAAGGTAAAAAGAAACAAGACACTTGGAGTGAAGAAAAGGAGATAGTTTTACCCGATGATTCAAATCAAAAAGAAAAATTAAATGAACAAAATTCAGAAAATAAAAAGGAACAAATTATCACTTTAGTCCCTATTCGCAAAAAGAAAAATAAAAGTGAAAAAATTGAAATCGATACTCAAGAACCACTTTTAAGAGATAGTATTAATACTTCAGAACCAAATATTATGCCAGAAACCAAACATGATACTGATAAAAATGTAGATCAAATAAAGGAACCCAACTTACTTGAACCACAACTCAAGGAAACCACATTACCAAAGAAAAAGAAAAAGAAAAAAAATCATCATGATTCTGTAAAATCAGATGTCAATGATGCATGTACTCTTGCTTTTCAAAAGTTACTCGAGCCAACAAATACAGCAAATCAAAACGATGATACAGTAGAAGTTTCAACATTAGATTGCTTTATAGATGATGCTAAAAATATAGAAGTTTCCGCAATAGACTATGAAGATGAAAGTTTAAAACGTAAAAAAAAACACAAAAAAAATAAAAACCCTCCACTGAATTTAGAGTCAAATGTTGAAACTGTATCTAAATCTCAAGAAGTAAATATTATAACAAGCCCAGAATTGATAAAATCTGATGTTACTTTAGAAAGTACAAGTCCAAAACCAAAAGCTAAAATTGCAAAGCCAGTTCAAAAAAAACGTAAAAGTAAATCTGATTTTCAACACGTGGAACAGTTGCCTGACCCTCGAGCTGATGAATCAGAAACTGTCGAATCTATCATTAATAAACCAGAAAATATAATAATAAAGCTGATTGAAGAAAAAGATTTAAAAGACGTTACTAATGTAGCTACATCACTTGTGAAGGATGAAAACATTGAAGACAAAAAAATTATAGCACCTCTATCAACACCAGATATGACGGTACTTCATGATGATATTGTTACTGGTAATTTAAAGGATAATTCTAAGGCCAGCTCGACTACAACAGAAATTAAAAGTGATATAAAAGAACCACAACTCATAGAGACAAATAAGGAATCAGATAATCAAGGTTTTGTAGAAGTCAAGACCGGAAAAAATAAGAAAAAAAGGTTACGGAGTAACGAACCTATACCTCACGATGTAAAAAATACAACCATACAAACAGATCAACTCAAAGAAAAAAAACAAAACATAAGGCATGAAGAAGAGAAAGATGAAATATTTTATGATATACCACAACTAGACATAGAAGAAAGCACTAAACCAGAAGAATTAGAAGGCTTAAAAGTCGGTACTCCTGATTTGATACAGTACCCGCGATCGACAAGTCAGCTAAATATTGACAACAATAACAATACATTAATACAAGAAATAACAATAACAGATGAGATCAAATTGGGGATTCCTATTTACATGCCTACGCCTATTATAGAAGGATCAGGAGAGACACCAGATATCAAGTTGACAGGGGAGCCCATAACTATCAAAGTTCAGTCAATGCCTAATAAAGATAATACTGAAAAGACTGATATCAAGTCGAAAATGTTTGAAGTTAATAAGGAGATGGAAGAATTAAGACGATCAATCGAGCGTTCTTTAGCTGAATTGACAGGAACAGAAAAATGTGATAGTAAAGTGGATTCTGAATTTGAAGAACTATTCCAAAGTCAGGTAAATGAACAGCCACCTTCTATCCCTCAAAATGCCAGAAGTGTTGATGATGCAAAAAATAATATACAGGAATCAGAAAATAAAAATCTTAAAGAAACTAACGCTGCCATTGTAGGAACCCCAAGTGAAAATACTGCCAAAGTACAAAGTAACAAATGTGAAGTTGAAAGTTCGCCTCCTATATGTCCTGTGAGATCAAAAAGTAAAGGTAAATTCAAGAGAAAAGGTAAAAAAGACGCGTTGCCTGCCAGTAGTATCAATACACCAGAATCGCAAAAACAAGGCAGTTCTGGTTCTTATCAAGAATCTAAAACTAAAGAATCAAAAAGCGCTGAAAAATCAGAACAAAATACCAGTAAAGGCTCATCTCAAGAAAAAGGTAAACAACAATCATCTCATACTAAAGATAGTGGAGAAACATCTAAGAAGCTGAGTTTGGATTTATCTTTTGAACCAATAGAAAACTTTGAAGATGCTCTAACTTCCAGCGCTGACGATGTTAATAAAACATTCGAAATTATTGCAAGCGAAGCGACACTAGTGACAAAGGATATGCAATATCAAAGTACACCGCAAATAAACGTAATAGCCCCATCTGAAGATGGAGATGAAGATATGAAAAAAGATTCAAAAACACAAAACCCGATGTCGCAGCCAAAAAACTTATTAGGCCATCCAAACATTCCTGTATCATCGAATAAAAATGATTATAAGAAAGAAAAGAACAAACCGCCAAATTCAATACAGGCAAAGGTGAAAATAAAAGATTCTATTGAAATTGAAATGCCGGAAAAACAAAATAACCCACAAATTAAAAAGTTAACAAAGGACACTAACGGCCATGACGCTTATTCATACGTGTCGAATGAAAATGAAGATTTTGTGTATAAATACAGTTTTCGTAAAGTGTTTTTGCAAAGTGCATGCCATGTGTGCAAGAAAGATTTAATTCAAAAGATGCCCTGCAAATTCTGTTCATTGGTATTCTATTGTAGTCAAAAGCACAAGGATGAAGATTGGCCAAAGCATCAGTCGTTGTGCTTTGCCGTATCAACTATCGCCCATCTTAAAGGTACTGAATTTTAATTTAATATAGGCTTAAGTAAATTCCTCTTCAAAAAATTAAATAAGTACTCATATATTGAAATCTTGGTCTATGCTAGTGTTGTAGATTTAATTAATATCGCACATATTTTTAGATTAATAAACTTAATGGAAAAAATAATAAACCTATTAAAATCTGTTCTAGAACAAAAATTCATTTATGGTGATGCTCAAAATATAACTGGACAAGAATATCGAGTACTTCGAATGCAGATGATTTTATCCTGTGAGAAGATATTAAAAAGAAAGCTAGTTCCTTGGGAGCAAGAAGCTCTTTTGTATCCTAGAATATGTGGTGATATTGGCTGTAGAGAATGGAAACAAAGTAGACTGAAGGACTGTGAAGGATGTGGTCAGGTAAGACATATTTTTATACTCGTGCCTTAGCACCTGAGATGAATAAAGATGGGACGGGTAAGAAGTGAGTCGTTAGGTTTCCGGTCAACTTACAGACAGACTTATACAAGATGTCATTCTACAATCGTCGAAGAATAAAAAACAAAAATACATCGGAATGACATGATGATTCTATGACATTATCAAATTTGAATAAAATCATTAAATTTCATCTTTCCAGATTTCCTACTGTGCTGACCATCCTGAACATCTACCATCTGCCCACAAGCAGTGGTGTAAATCATACGCTTTATATCAAAAGTTGGTAAATTATCAGCAAACTAGGGGCAGATTGGAACCAAAACTTCCGACAAAAGTTTTAAGCCATTATAGAATACCAGATAACTTAAACCAGATTTTGGGGTCTATGTATGAAGAGAAAATTGGTAAGTAACGTAGGAATAAATCTATCATGCTCATTCAACCCTTTTACTATTAACATAGCACTTCTGGGCACTGGCTTCTGTCGAATTGAAGAATGCGAGGAGTATCAGGTCAAATCCACTATATTGGTCAAGTGCGAGTTGGTGTACTTCATTTCTCCTTCGAAAACTATGTAGTTAAGTTCTTTCAGACATACACGTTTCCTCACCATATTATCCTTTTCGTAGTATTTCTTTGAGTATGATTTACACACGAAAATATAGAGATACGAGAATCGGGACTTGAGCCCATATCGCTTGATTCTCCAAGCGAACCGCGTTACCATTTTAATTATTATAAAAGTATAGTGCATATTTTGTTATATCCGTACCTATTTAGAATTAAAAATTTCCGTAACGCAACGTGATTCATTAAATTATATTAATCACACTTTGAAAATTTGCCAAGAATAATCCACCTACATATATTTAATTACTATTAGTTTTGAAGTTATTTAGATAGGAGTTTGTTATAATGCGAGTAATCTTTAGATGTTAATGGTTGATAGATGAATGGTACCATTATTTTTACTTTATAATAATAATATATTAATTTTAAATAAAGTGATTGTCGATTTTTTGGTATACGGGTTTTATTTTTAGTTTTTACAGAACAGTTTGGTGTTTGATTCGGTGTTTTTGGCATAGATAAAAAAATCTATTGTAATAATTGAATTGCACATACTCGTACATGGAAACCTAGCGCCTGAACTAGGAAATTATATTTTCTATGGGAAATAGCCAATATTGCTTATGTACATACTTGTATATACTGAAGACATGGGGCTATGTCACTCTTCGGTATCTTTCTTTTAAATTTGTATCTTGCTTTCTTTCCCATAAACAGAGTTCTATCTTACATTAAATTATTTTTCTAATACACAAACAAAATACTTAAAAATTGCCGATTTAGGTTCTTTTTCACGATATTTCGTGAAAAAGAACCCAAATTAGCAATTTATACAAATTTAAACACAATAACATGTTAATGCATGATTAAATATAGATTATGACATTTAAAGAGCTTGTTAATTTTAACTGAAATGTATATTTTTAGATATGGATGATATCCAATATGCGGCTCTCACTCAAATAGCTACGGCGCCTCTAACTACAGCTTACTGCTACCAACTATACATGAACAAAAACTCTACAAATGCCAATGGACTTTCAAAGGTGCATAATTAAATAATTGACATATTTTTTCAACATAACGTTTTTTTTTTCAAAACAAGTTTTTATTCATTTAGTTTAAAAATTCAGAAGTTACAATTTTTCGGTTCCATCATCAGATTGGCTCTATAGTGCTGTATTATTCTAATTGTATCTATGCCTGTAAAGGCCAAGTTATTGGATTTTTCTGTAAAGAAATTCTCAGCAGCAACATGGAGTTGGGAAATTCGCGGTGTTATATATAGTACCTGGGAGAGCACATTGGATCTACGTTAGCTCTATCACTGGTCTGGTTAAAATACCATCTCATTGGGCAGTGACAATGAAATCATAGTTTACGCTCGTATATGCTTTCCCAGTTATGCAGTATAATGTCTCCTTTGGTCAGATGGCTAATCTAAGTGAGGACAATCTACAGTATCAAAATAATGTTTATGTACCGATTCGATCATGTCTAGATAAAAAAAATAAGAAAAATAAATTCTGTATCATTTTCAGAAGTCAACATTCACAATACATACAATAGCCACAGATTTGCAATTCGAGGCAGATTCACTCAATAAATGGGAGATTTTCTTTCTCCATCTTCTTGATGTGCAGGACTTAAGACTAGTTCTTATCGGACCAGAGCTCAACTCTTCTGACCTGCCCTGGGATATACTTGGTAAAATTAGGTGAGATATATAAGGTTATCTCTTTATTAGAAGCAATATTATAACCGAGTGTGTGTGTGTGAATTAATTGCCAGAAAACGTAACAACTTTAATTGAAGATGAAAAAATACTGGTCGTCAAGTTGCTTTATCGGCGTGCCACTAAACGGTTTGAAATAAATATATAAAATGTATGGTAAAAAGACAGCTAGAGACGCACTCGAGTGAAACCAGGGCAAGTCACTAGAATAACTGGCTTTCGCCTGCTGATGGGCTCGACTAGTTTTTTTTATGTGTAATTGCTTCGCTTCTTAGGGTCGTTTCTAGATATTAGCCTATAGTCTATACTTTTATTAATTTCTCAAGGCTTTGAATAAAAATTCGTTCTGTATTCAATAGCCTATATAATGAGGTTCTTTGATCCTTAGGAGTGGAATAATTACACGTAAAAAAGCAGGCGAAGCGACGGACAAATCTAGTCTTATATATCGGCTAATGGCATTACGATGAAAGAAAATTCCTTTAATAATATTCTACCAAAGTTATCTTTCAAATAGCTTCTATTAGGTACTAAATATGCTATAACATATAGAGTATAGACATATATGAGCCAATTTCGTAATAAAGCTTTAGTCGCACATGGACTGCATATTTTTAATATATTTGTATAATAATAGTTATCTATTGTGTCTGTTCGTACAAACGATTTCTTACAAAAGTTATGGTGAATGAAATTATTATTAGAAGGTTAATATTAAGTGCTATACCTATTATTGTATTAATTATGTTATTTATCATCAATAAATTCTAATAAGAAAAAACAAAACTATGGGTGTCAAAAACATAATTAAACTATCTTTCTGCAAATTTAACCATATCTGTATCCGGTTATTTGGTTAATAAATATGGCCATGTTTCTATTTTTTGCAAAAAGCTCAAGTGATCCCACTGCCCAGATCCACCTTCGCAGAAATATTCACACTCCATCTTCTGTACTGTCTGTTCGATGCCTGCACGCCTTACCTAAAAGATTTAATTTTTTTCTTGGTGTACAATTAAAAAAATATTATTATATTAGTACCTCTTCGGATTTCACGAGCTCTAAGAAGACCGCTACTTTGGAAGGCTTACGTGGGGACTTACAAGTCCACGTAAAGGTCCCTTAAGAGGTTCAAGTTTGTTTAATTTGAGGCATCAGCCGGGATCCATCTCGGTGTAACCCATAGGGAATTGTCCAAAAATTGCCTTCGGATAATGCGTAGGGACTATGGAAAAGATGAAAAACTGAAATATGAAAAACCGGACAAGTTATAACCGTCTTTTTAACAGTCTCAGATTGAATATTTAGAGGACGCTTATTACGAGTATTATTCGTATTAAGTTACTAAAAATTTCTTAAATCTGCTCTATTAATAAGAATTTGTACAAGTAAAGTCGCGACAACTTTTACTACAGTTCAAATATAATTTACAAATATGAAATAGTGGTTTAGTTTATTTGTTCGTCATAAAGTCGTCTCGATCGCGTCTAGCTCGCCGTCTAGTCTTTTGATATCAAACGAATGGTTGAGTAATAAAAAATATGCTCATAATTTACGTTTACAATATTTATATTAGCGTTAGTTAACTAAATTGATTCATGTTTTCTATTGGGGAAAAAGATTTATTATTACATACTAGATATTTATTCTTGTTTTGTTTCAGATTCGTCCCAAGGTGTTTTAAATAAAACTACCTTTTCGGATAATTTTGCGTTTAATTTATTCTTTACTAGCATTGCCCGCGGCTCCGCCCGCGTTCAGATGACCAAAAACTAAATTCTTAGGTGTTACATATTAGTATACTCTTACATTGCAGTTTTTGTATTTTTCCTCAGAAATAAGATATTTTCCCGCGGTAAAAAGTATCCTAGGATCGCGCGCTACATCGCCCGGTTTATATAGCTTGAGCAGGCGGTCGAGCGATGCGGGGCAGAGGGGATGGACTCGCCGTAGGCATCTCAATGCTCGCCAAGCATTAAAAATGTTTCGCTACTAATTACTTCTAACAACGATATCTCAAAAACTATTCATCTGATTGATTTAGTGTAAAGAGCAATTTTAATCTGCATTAAATGACTAAGCTAACTAAAATATTCATTTGGATAAGGATTAATACCGAACTAAAGAAAATAACTTTGAAAATAACGTAATGTTTTTAATTAAAAATGTTAACATAAAAGTGGTTATTGTAAGTCAACCGTAAGAGATAGAGATATGCTATCGCGGACTTTTTTGTAGCATTTTTATAGATTTTGAATTCTCTAGTACATTACTTAACTGTATCTTTGCTAGTTTACGCGGCGTTCGCGTGGAAAGTTCCCATTTGGCGAGATTTTTTGCGACCTCTTCAACATTTGTCGCCGTATTTCAGCTAATTTACATAAAAGCATAATAAATTATATACCTAAGCCTTCCTCAAGAATTACTCTTTCTATTGTTGAAAACCGTATAAAAATCCGTTCAGTAGTTTTCGAGTTTATCGCGTTCAGACAGACAGGAGGACAGAAAGACGCGGCCGGGGGACTTATTTTTATAATAAGTATAGATGGTTATACATATATAATAATAGCAACACTACATAATATTAGTACTTAAAAAAGTTTTTTTTAATTGTAATATTTATAATAATAACAGTTAAAATTAAATAATATTGCTATATTTAATTATAATGTTTATTGAAAAAATTAAAATGTTTGGAAATAAAAATCAACAAATATTGTAAGGTGCTTAATTAAATAATTTTTGAATTTTTGAAATCATTTTTGTAAAATAGTGGGTAGGTACTGTCTGTAACAAGTATGTGTTTGAGACGTCTATAACCTTAGTCTCTCCCGTGAATGGTCAAATGCTGTAAAGCATTCGAAAAGTCGGGAACCAAAAATCAAAATAAATCAGCGAAAAAATCCGAAAAGCTAGTTTTATTTAAAATGTCAAATATTCGCGTAGGTAAATCTAAAAAGTATTATGTCGTCCCAAGGTGCTTAAAAATAGCCTATGTGATACCACAGGTCAAACTCTACACTCTACCTGTGTACTAAATTTTATTCAAATCCGTTTCAGGACTAACAAACCCACACTTCACAAATTTTTGCATTTTGAAATATATTTATTTATAATATCGTGTTAATATATTATTATTAATTACCTTACTTTATTAAAACTAAAATTTAAGTAATTTTAATTCAGAAATCAACCCATAGAAAACGGGTTTGTTTTAAACTACATATTATTTATTTAAATAGATATCTTTTCTTTACAGAGTATGTGAAAATTGTAAGACTAATCGACGCCGTGTTATTTTTGATTTCCGCGATAAGCAATCTTATCAAGACTATTATTCTAGCGATGACTTTATTACCCCAGATATTGGTAAGTTAAAAGAAAAAATTTAGGAAAACTCATCATAAATTATTATTATCTATTTAGTGCTGTCTAATAGATTGTATTTACTCGTACAACCACAGACTATAATATAATAATTACTTCTATGTACATTAAAGGTCGCAAGTTCTACTCTCGCATGGGGTATTTTTCAATTATTCAATTTATATGATTTTGACTTTGGGTGCTTATCGGCTTTACTAGCTTTGGTAACTTAAAAAAGCTAAGATTTCAGAACTAAGAAGTTTGGTTCATTCAGATAATAGGACTCGCCGTACCTACCTATAGATTAATTATGTTTTTTCACAACTTTTCTAAGGCGCTACAGGATTAATTGGGTTTTTTCGCTATACAAGTACCTACAAGTACTTATACATGTATAAGTACAGCCCAGATCACATAATACTATACTATATTTAATATTAGTAAGTTAAGAAATGCCACCTTATAGTTAGTGGAACTCTTTTTAATTAATAGCTAATCCTGGGAGAAACGAAGAATAAAATTTCGAGAAAATCGGAAAAAAATAATTTTATTTCATTAAATATTCCTGTAAAAAGAAGAGTTAGAAAGTAGGTATTGTAAGGAAGACTGCATTTATAGTGTTTGTGTAATAATTTATCTGTTTTCAGTCTGTGCTTTCAATCCAAACATACAAAGGGCGTCCACTTACAAAGTAGAAGATACATGGCCGTCTACTCTAAACTGTGTTTTAAAACAACGTGTGCCGTTCCTCATCACTTCCTACACATTAAATGAACTTAAAAGAGATATCGATTGGATTAAAGAGTGCTCAAAAATCGATTTTAATATTATTTCTGATTTAAAACATAATCCGTTTTGTAGCGTGCGACCCGACAGAAACTTCATCACTGATCACGAAATGCCGTTGCTATTTAAAAACTATTGTTTTAGTATCCTGTGTGGTATTTAATTTGTTTTTATGTTATTTCAATTAAATTGTTATTATATGGTTTAATTATTTTTTGTTATTTTCCTCTCTAATCATCATCATCTCCCTGCCCATTTCCCAATTACTTGGGGTCGGTACAGTACATCTTCCGTACTGCTGAAAGGATTTGGCAAACCGCAAAAGTTTTATGACCGGCCGCCTGCCTGACATTAACCCTCCTTGGGAATGCTATTGTTTATCGCGGAAAGGAACCAAGGTGCACGACGAGCACATTTCATTTAGATTTAGGTATATAAAATTATCTAATGCCAATAGTTTTTTTCACCACTTTCAATGTCAATTTGATGCTTGAGGTTAGGCGTGGCGTAATAATAGAGTTATTAAATTTACGCCTTGTAATATGCATATTCATTTTTTTTTTATTTAAGACATTTTTTTACTATTCAGTTTTCATATATGTTCAATTATTTTGAAATGTTTGACATGATTTTAAAATATATATCTATAACGTAACCTATATATCTATAACGTAAAAGATTCTGTCTGAACATATCGATGGGTCCTAACTCCTAGTGCGAAATAACAATGTATGTAATGTAGCAGTTCTTAAAATTTTAATCCACGAAGATATAATATTTTTTTAACTGACGTTAGAACATTTCGTACTTTGCAAATATTTTTGTTGCCAACGGTTTTCAAGAAATTATCAATTTATCTATACCTATTCAATATCATATTTTGCAAGTTGTAGTAGTTAATAATTAGGTAGTTAATAACTAAAAGTGTTTAGGTGTATAACGAATGATTGGTTCTCAATACAAACTTTCGTCCCCATTTTCACCCCCATAAAGGATGATTTCCGGGATAAAAAGTATCCTACGTCCACCCCAGGGGCACTGAAATTTGGTAAGTAGTAATTAGGTTCTGTAGATCCAGAGATTACCCCTACAACGTCACATACTCACAAACTCACAATTCACAAACTTTACCTCTTTATAATATACTAGCTTGATTCCCCATATAAACTTTCATCCTCATTTTCACCCCCTTAAGGGATGATTAGTCCTTCACAGGGTCTCAAACTATTTTACCAAATTTCATTTAAATCGGTTCAGTAGAACCAGAGATTATCCCCTACAACATCACAAAATCACAATCTCGCAAACTTTACCTCTTTATAATATTAGTTTAGATTATTTATAATATTAAAATAAATATTTATTTCATAGAACTGTGTTGCATTTGTCCTTTTAATGTAACAATAACAATGTGAATAAAAATATTTCAGTCCACTTCAATAACTATTACCTATGTACTATAGACGTGGATTAGAACAAAATAAAAGGCGTAATAAGTAACGCAACTTTGATGTACAAGCGTATTTTACATAAAATCTAAATAAATCCGCAGAAAAAAAACGGTAAAAATTGTTTTGTTAATTAAGTAAAATGTCAAATATTCGCGTAAATCTAAGAAAGTATAATTTCTACCTATTCTTATATTTATTAATTTTACACAAACTTCAGTTACAGGGTCGATACATGTCATATTATATTGAAAATATGAATTAGGTACTTTTTCTTTGTTAATGATAAAACTCCATGCCCAGAGTATTTAAAAATTTAAAGACCAGAGCTGAGAGCAAACATGAATAGCAAATGGTTACTTTTAACGTAACGTATAATAATGAAATTGTAACTAAGATGAATCTGTACATTAAATATTTTTTGGAAAATCTAATTGAAATAGACATTATTATCGATACGGAGTCGGAATCTATAGTTTTTAGAATTTTTGTCTGTCTGTCTGTCTGGTCTGTCTGTCTCTCTGTTACCGCAACACGAGAAAACCACTGGACAGATTTTGATGAAATTTGGTATGATGATAGCTGGTTATCCGGGTCAACATTCAACATATAGGATACTTTTTACCGCGGGAAAGTCTCTCATTTCTGAGAAAAAATACAAAAACTGCATTGTAAGAGTATACTAATATTTATGTAAAACCTAACAATTTGGTTTTTGGTCATCTAAACGCGAGCAGAGCCGTGGGTAATGCTAGTCATCTATATATTATCATGTAATACTAGCAGAACCCGCGGCTTTGCTCGCGCTAAAACTACAAAAAACTCTAAAAAGTAGGTTCCATACAAACTTTTATCCCCTATTTCACCCCCATATGGGATGAATTTAAAAAAATGCTAAAATACGTATTTATTTATTTGTATTAAAGAGCATTAATACCAAATTTCAAGTAATTCTGATCTTATGATCAGAATTACTTGAAATTTGAAAATTGGAAAATATTTATATATTTTTTGGGTTGTTTTATAACGTCTCTTCTTGTGGGAATGAGATAATCTCAAGCGGTAAAAAGTAACCTATATCTCTCTCCAGCCCTCCAATTATCTCCACACAAAAATCGTATCAATCTGCCACTTCGTTAAGACGTGAAAAAAAAAACAAACAAACACACACTTTCACATTTATAATACATATTACTATGGATGTATTTCAATTTTTCTGAAACTCTTTGAATTTCTGTTTCAGCGCTGCCATCTATTATAAAATACTTGAAATGTGAAGATTTTTACCATTTTCCTCCGCTAGATGTCGCAATCATTATAATCCTTGTGGATGCTTTTTTTAATTTTTTTTATTTTATTTAAAATTTGCTTAAAATGATGAATATAATGACAATAAAGACATTGTGGGCTAAAAAAATGAGACAACCAAAATTGGCAAAGTCACATATCTTTATATTTAAGGCTATATGGACATCATTTATAAAAAGTGATTTTAAGACTCTTAAATCATCTATAGGTGAATATTTTTTGTAAAAGTTTTAATTACAGAGTTTCATACAATCTTTCATCCTTCCATTTAACGAGGATATAGGATTGAATTTCGAAAAATGCTAAAACACGTATTTGTTTAATTATATTAAAGAACATAGCAAGCATGAGCAGAAGAGAACTGAAGAAATTGTGGGCTAAAGCAATTTCTTTAGTTTTTGTTTTTTGGGAACAAATGATATCAATTTTCTTTGCATCCTGGCACTGCTTAATGTGTCATTTTAATTAAATTTTTAAATAAAATAAAAAACAACTATCAACGCTATAGAGCTTTACAATACACTGAGGGCCATAGTGATCGCGACATCCGACGGGAAAAGCGCAAAATCCTTCCCTTTAATATCGGTTGAATAATGAATTTATTATCTATATCTGTAATGATGATACGAGAAAACTATTTTAATCTGTTCATAAAATTAGAACGCAAGTATTTTTGTCAACATGTCGGACAAGTTAGTGTTATTGTTATTTATTTATAAATCCTATTACAACTTCATTTAAGTCTTTTAAATAGAATAACTATTGTTAATAAACATATACACGTTTGATCAAAATATTTTTTTGTGTAAAAGAGTAATATTTAGTCATAACAAGGAAGTAAAAATTTTCCATGCAGCCCCTTAAATCAATATGAATTTATTTCCAGCGAGGATTTACTCGGCGATGATTTAGGTGATCACAGTTTCGCCGACTATAACCTCGGCAACGAAGAAGAAGAAAAACTTTTGGCTGATGATGATGGCCCTTCTCAAAATGTTCCAACTTCTATTGGAAGTTTCCATGAATCTGTCGATCCAGTACCTACTGAGTTCCCAAGACAAAACGTAGAATATAACCTGGTACGTAAAAAATATGTCAAAAGCTTCAAAAATATTATCAAAATGTAATCAAATCATTTATTTTAGTTATTATTTTGTGTATTGTTATGCATTATAAATTTATTCTGTACTAGGTGCATGTGTATTCTTTGTAAATAGTATAACTTAAAATAATGCTGTTCTACTTAATTTAAGGGCCTTGCTAATTTCAATTGGTAATAGATAGTTATTTTATTGCTAAAAGTCACAAAAAAATGTTTATATCTGTAACTGAATAAGGATTTTACTTAGTGTCAAAATTACATGAACATTTAATATTTGCATATTTAATGATTGAAAATAGATTGAAACAAGAAGATTCCTGCTCTACAAATGAGTCATCACCATTAACAGTGTACAGATAAAAAAAAATAGCAGAAATGTAGCAACATTTGCTTTGCTATTGTGAAATAATAAATAATTGTTATACCTATTTTTTTTTTAAATATTACTTATTTTTCTGTAGTATAGATATATTAGAATGTAATATAGATATTATATAAATATAATGTTTTTAAGCTACGAAATGATTAAGTGGCCAATACTAGCCTATATGTTACTCCAGGTCATGGTATATATGTATACTTATTTTCATTTAAAACCATCCAACCGCTTAAGACATTTGTAACTTTGACATATATAATAGTATTCTAAGGATTTCGTACAAATATATTATTGTTTTATATCTATTTATTGTAGCCTCTACAATCATACACCCAACCGGAGACAGAATGTGTTGTCCCGAATATAACAGTGGAAGTACCAAATATTCCTGCAGAACCATGTTCTTATACACCCTTCAATGAGTCATATGAAGAACGCACAGTGCCGCCAGCAATTGTAAGTCCTAAAAAAATTGAATGATTTACATTGCACATTATGTTTGTAAGGTGCATTTAGTTTATAATAATAATAACTATTTATTTCAGATCAATAATCCATAGTAATTAGTTTTTATATTTATGAATACAATTAAATTTAATAATAATAATAGTAAAATCTAACAAATAGTTTCTCCCTGATACTTAAGGGTAGTTACTTCACTGTGTGCAGCCGCATCCAGCGCCCAAGTATCGGCGAGTCCCAAAGATTTAGTTTGGAAACCGATTAAAGGAAATTTAAATAGTGGATCTAGCATGAATATAACTATTATTTTATATGTGATTTTCACTTGCTAATACATAATTAGAAAAATATGAAAGCTGCATATTTAAAATAACTTAAACAGACCCTAAAAACATGTGAATTCAACCGATCTAAGTTTTGTCAGTGTGAATTTGGAATTACTGACCCATGACAAGACAATGGTCAGCAGTGAGCAGTGGGATATTAAAAATGCCAAATTGTTATTATCTATACTAATAAATGGAGAGCCGATTTTTTTGTTCGGTTATACTGTGATAACTACTGAACCGATCGGAATAATACTCATACCAAAAGATGCAGTGTGTTGTTAACTGAAAATAATAGTTATATACTGAATAAATTATGACAATATATACTATAACTGCTTTACAACTAAATATTATGTTTGTCCTTATATTCTTGTTATCTATACTAATATTATAAAGAGGTAATGTTTGTGACGTTTTAAGGGATAATCTCTGGATCTACTGAACCGATTTAGATGAAATTTGGTAAGAAGATAGTTTGAGACCCTGGGAAGGACATTTTTAAATAAAAATAGGACATATTCTCACCATAACATTTCCATTTCATGCTTAGTACATGTATATCTTTCTTGCTAATTACATTGGTAAGTAATGTATGTTTGTCTTTCAGCCGGCTGCTCCCATAGAATCTCCGCAAATAGTACCGTCAGAAATGACAGTTCCGATAGGTGAGTTGTATTTAGTTAATTTTTATAAATAACTTGCAAGTTGTCCTTGCTTTGATTAGGTTCCTAACAATAGCTGATAAAGTAACTCGACAGCCATTTTTTTTAACTTCAATTATAGTTATTATGATTTCTGACAGTGAACATGTTTCTGTCAAAATATAAAATATGTATGATATAGCAAATATACAAGAAGAGTTCTATATTTCTCTATGTTACATCTTGTGTTGTTCTCCATATTTATATTATAAAGTAGGAACAAATAAATCTTACAATGTATATTCAAAGGCTAACTTAGCATGCTTAAATGCGACTACATGTTACCTTCGAATACAATATAAACTTATATATTAAAAAAACAAAGCAAAGTAGCATCATTTTGATTTCCGTGACGCCGTAATTTGACGATGAATTTTTATAGATCTTGGAAAAATAAAACGGAAAATATAAAAAAAAATCGATATCTCGCTTTGTTTTCGAGATATCCATACTTAAAAATCAAAAATGAAAAATTATTTTTTTTTGTATATGTATAAAAATTATCAAAATAAAAGTTAGAAATTTTCTGGCAGAAAAAATCTTATAATACGCGGCCGGCCTTAAATTTCAATTCAATTCTTTGTTATTTGGCTTTTAGACGGCCTTAAAGTTATAATATTTCTATACATTATTATGAAATTTGCTGTCATTTTGACATTTCCAATTCTTACTTAGGATATTGTCATTTGTCCAACACCTATAATTTTCTTGTCGAAGCTGCCACCAAATCATATAACAAACATAAAGCAATTATGAAATTGGTGGTTCTGGGTTTGAAATAAAAAGAAAGAACTAACGAGAAGGCTAAGGCGGGAGCGAAGCGTAGCTCTCCCTACGTTATCCAAGTCGGGCCTGTCACAGAATCAGAAGTTAAAACTTACAAAGAAATAATCTATTTGAATTTTAGAAATAGTCTGCGTATATTTTATAAACATGAAAATCCTTTCGCACACGGGTTTAATATGTAAAAAAATATCATTATTTTTTTTTTCGATTTTTGCGTGTCGATATCTCGAAAACAAGTTAATTTATAGTTAACTCATCGTTAAATTACGGCGCTGCAGATAATGAAATAAAAATCAAAATAGTCAATCACCTTAAAAGAATAAATAGTACCTATTTTGGAAATAAAAAATATAATCATTATTTTTTGGGGAAAAAGGAGAAGTAGCAATTTAAAAAAGATGATACAGAAAATAAAAGATTGATGTAATTCCATAGATGCAGAGAATAACCGTGAGATTGTATCAGAACGGAGTCTCCCTCAACGCTCACCTTTACCCAGGAATATACCAGACTCTTTAGGTAAGCTGTGTGTTATTTGATAACTTAATTATTTGATTACACGTTTGACTCTGTTTGTAGTGACCCTGCTTGCTGTGCCAGCGGTCGCGGGTTCGAGTCCCGCTGGTGGTATTCATTTGTATGATGAGCACGAATGTTTGTACTCCAGTTATGGGTGTTGATATTTATAATATGTATGTATTTAAAGTTATATATGTGTAGTGTATCAACTATCTGGTATCCATAACGCAAGCTTCGTAGCTTACCATGGAACTAGATGGTACCGTGTGTTAATGCCCCAACATATTTATTTATTATTAATTTGATAAGTTATCATAATATAGCCAAACAACGTAGCTAAAGGATATGGCATTTAAGTATGGAAAGAACTTATTAACATCAGGTCTCGGAATGGTTTAAAAAGAACGGTTTATTTTGGTAATGAAATGGTTAAGGCGCTCTTTTCCAGAATCGCCGCTCCCTAGGCGCCAGCGCGCGACGACCCGTTTCATTTTATCTGTTTTTCGCCTATTTCCATAAATATAAGTTAATAAATGAAAATCTGTTTCTCCGAATGCCTAAATAATGACAAGCTAAATCTATGAGTATAACTTTCATATCATATAATAATGTATTTTGTGTGTATCAGAGATTTTAAGGTATTTTTAGACCTATCTTTGAATTTTTTTTCTATCGAGTGAACTATTGCCAATCGTGTTTTGGCCTCTCCGGGTACTTAGCTATTATCCTTAACTATAACATGTATGAATTTTAGAACTATATGTATTATATTCGTGGTTTTATAATGGTTCAAAATATCCTAAATTCTGGAAAAGAGCGCCTTAATTCATCGCTCGTTTGATGACCGGTTAATGAAAACGAACAGTTTAGTAAACCAAAATAATAATGGTTAACGATTTTTCTTAGGGAAAGGTTTGATTTCGGTTTTGATACCGAAATAAACCGGTTAATTCATTCGTAAGTAAGAAACGTACATGTATCCTTCCAAAATCACGCCAATCCGTCACTCTGTTTTGACGTGAAAGGGGGACAAACAAACACACTTTCATATTTATAATACCAAATATGGATCATTTAATTTATTGCTATTTGTTTTGTATCTATTTAACAGATAAAGTGTTTGTCCCTCGAGCTGGTTTTAACAAGGGAGGTGCACGCTCGTGGAGGAACCCACAATATCGACAAAATCATCCTTATAGACGCAATAATTATAGTTTCAGGGTAAGTTGAATATAAAATATAAATATTACATATATAAAATACATAATATACATAAAATATTAATAAATTTATAAAAAAATTTACATATCTAAAAAAAAATTCCAGGGTAATTTCAATCAACGACCCTCCTTCCCCCCACCCCAAATGCGACCCCAAATTCCCAACCCACAAATCAGACCTGACTTACCCGAATTACGACCCGAGTTTACCCCAATGGGGCCTGAGATATCCCCCGAACGCCCAATTATACCCCCAGACCAAATGGATCGATTTAATCAAAGATTTCCATACAGAGACGATTTTAATCCCAATATCCGTCCCAATTTCGAAAGACCAATGTTCTTCCAAAGGTCCTACAACCCCAGATTTACCCCCAATGACGTAACGTTACCGCAAGTGATAAGACAACCCTTAGTGTTACCGGCGTTACCAAAAAGGGAACCAGAAGTAAGAATGTTACCAGTTTTGAACCCGTTACCCACTTTACCCCCCGGCGTTACCGCAAAGAAGGTGTTAATAAATCCTCATTTCAAAGGCACTTTCCAACCTCCTGTTGAAGGTAAATGATCTTTTATTATAATTTATTTAATAGTTAAAGATAATGAATAAGAAAGATATTAAAAATATTTAAAAGCAGTTCTAAAATCACTAACTTTGTATTAAAAAAGTGTTTTTTATTTTTTTATTTTGGGCAGCGCCATCTATCAATAACTTTAGATAAAATAACATTAATATACAACTTTATATATATTGAGATTCAAGTCCTAAGTCGTAGACTACGACGTGGCTTATGTTTCAAGTCTTAAAAAACCAACCAAATGGAAAACTTGTGATGAAATTACAATCTTTCATGCTTATAATACTACTAAAATTCAATATTATAATGTATTTTTTAACGTTTAGTACTAAATAAGCAATTTAGTTTGCTATATAGTAATATAAACAAAGTATTAGGAATACATAGTGTCATGTTTTGAGATGTTTATAGATAAAGATCATGAAAACAATTACAAACATTAAAAATGAAATAATCTATACATATAATAAAATTGTAACTAGGCCGAATCTGTACATTAAATATTTTTTAGAAAAGATTTTCAATAAGATTATTGAAATAGACTTTATTATCGATACAGAGACCGAATCCATAGTTTTTAGAATTTTTATCTGTCTGTCTGTCTGTCTGTTACTGCATCACGGGAAAACCACTGGATAGATTTTGATGAAATTTGGTATGATAATAGCTGGTTATCCGGGTCAACATATAGGATACTTTTTACCGCGGGCAAATATCTCATTTCTGAGAAAAAAATACAAAAACTGCAATGTATGAGTATACTAATATGTAAAACTTAAGAATTTGGTTTTTGGTCATCTGAACGCGGGCAGAGCCACTGGCAATGCTAGTCACGTTATATGAATTCAAATCTTCAAATTATCTACTTATTGGTAATAGTTTTTTTGTTTGTTTGAGTGCACTTTGTCTATACCAGATTCATCGTGCGCCGATGAAAAAAAATGGTGGCAGATGAAAAACGTTTGAATCCCTTTAATTAAATCTTAGACGAAGTTATTATGGCAATATTGAAAGACAAATTTAATACAATTTTGAACCAAAATATTGACCAATAGTCCACTCAGTACTTATTTGTTCAAATGACCAATTTACTGATAGAGTTTTTAATACTTGACTTTTAAATATCAATTCTATTGGTATAAAATACACTGTTTACTTCTAAAAAGCCGAAAAAAATATTTTATCTATATAGTATGTATGGATATAATTCTTAAATATAATGTTTTGATTTTAAAATATAGGAAAACAACTCTACTGTAAAGTACAAAAAGTATTGGTCGTTTGAACAAATCAGCACTAAGGCGATGTAATGACGTGTTAAAGCCAGGGTTTTATAAAATAAATTTTATTTCTCCGTAGGACTCTATTTTCTGGTTTTATCATATATTTTTAATCTTCTGTCTATACACATAATAAAATTCTGAGTCGAATCTGTACATTAAATATTTTTTAGAAAATCTTATTGAAATAGTCATTATTATCGATACAGAGGCAGAATCTATAGTTTTTAAAACTTTTGTCTGACTGTCTTTGTCTGTCTGTCTGTCTTTCTGGGAACTAATCACGACAACTGGTCAGATTTTGATAAAATTTGGTATGGTGATAGCTGGTTATCCCGATTAACATTTAGAATACTTTTTACTGCGGGAAAATATCTCATCTCTAAGAAATCTATACTAAACGTTTCGTATTATAAAATAAAATATATTAGTTATAGTTGGTTGTGTGTAAGTTAATTATAAATATTTTTATCTGAACGTAGGGCTACCAACGTACATTCCTACGAGAATACAAAAATCACCGCCACTAAGTCCAACATTGGAAAGCAAATTTGGTAATTTAGCTTCTATTTATATATTGAAGGTGTAAAGGCAAAAACTACTAAGTTTTAATATTTTTAATTGTTATTATGACTTATTATATATTTTTTTTATGGTAACGTTTCGTGGTGACTTTAATTGTGAAAATTAAATGAAGATATTGTAATATTTAATAATAGTGATTTTATAAAAAAAATTGAGTTTATAAGTATTCAAAATCATTAAGAATAAACTAAAAAGTAACTTTTTGTTAAATATGTAAATTTTTTTGTTATAATATTAATATAATTAATATATAAGTTTCTTTTAATATATAGGAATTAGTTTTTATTGTATGAATAGTAAATACTTTCTTTTAATTTTTTTTCTAGTAAATTAAAAAAATAATCATTTTTTGTTAAGTTATTACTTAGTGACTTTTTCCTTTATATCTTCGATGTATTGTTACATGTACATTGTACAATATACTATAGCTTTGCACTACGTATGTATTGTAGCACGGTTTGATATAACATATAGTTTTGTTTTTACAAACAAACAGACAAAATGATTTTTGATAACACTGATATTATTATAAAGATGTTGATACTAGATTTAATTGCCTTATAATCATCGATCAAAAATATACCAAAAAAAATTCTAGATACAAAAACAGCGACAAAAAATGTCCTCACCGAATGAGCGCTCATTTGAACATTTGAGCGCGCTTTTAAAACATTAAAACTCAAAGTTGTTTTCACAAAAAAAAACATAAAAACTCAACGTTGTTTTCACAAAAAAAAAAATTTTTTTTGTGAAAACAACTTTGAGCATTGCATTTAATGTTCAATTTACATTGTTGTATATTTATTTCAACTAGAATAATTACCTAAACACAATGATTGGTGACAGTTTTAAGAGAACTTTTGCATTGGATTGTGTATCTATTACTTTTTTGATTTATGCTTATAATAACAAATTTTATTGGTTCAAGTAGATTTAGACTCTTCATACACACTTACCTTTACCCTTTTGCAATTTATTAAAACTATAGAGTTTACTTGATGTCTTTGAATAAATTGAATAAATTCTTAAATCACTTTCTCCACTATAAGCTGTACCTATCTTTATATATATAATTCTTCTGTGAGTGTGTATGTCACTGAACTTCTCTCAAACGACTGGACCGATTTTGATGAAATTTTTTGTGTGTGTTCAAGGGGATCTGGAAATGGTTTAGATCCACAATTTGAATAATAATTTCCATCAAAAAAATTATTAAAAAAAGTTTGAAATTTTCAAATTAAAGACGTGTAGACAGGACAACGTCTGTCGGGTCCGCTAGTATCCTTATATAAAATATTTGTAACATACCGACAGACACATTTTTCGTATATATAATATATACTTACTCTCACGTATAAATACATGGTTCTTACAATTCTGATATACTGTTTGATGAACTGATTACAAATTGTTAGTTCTAACTTTGATGTTTTTTCTAAAAAGCAAAATATGCATGATTTGGTCTTTTTTCAAACTATCTGTTACGAGTTTCTTTAAGTTTTTGAGCTTCTTGAAGTGTGTGTTTAGTTCACTATTGATTTTTTATTATTGCACATTTCATTTTTTATCTGTGGCTTTTGTATTGTTTATTCTGTTAATACATATATACTGTAAAATGTAGTCATTTAAATAAAAATAATCATATTAGTAATATTTTATATCTTGTAGAGCATGAACAATGAAATATTATTATTCTTCTGGTATATAATAGAATCGATTTTCTTTTCGATCTTAATGCGTCCGTTTGTATATTTAATAATAAATATTTAATGTTTTGTTTTTTGAAGGACCCATAAAGGATATAGACGACGCGGCAGAGAGATTCATCGCGGAACAAAGGAATGCTTTGGCTCGAGCCGCAAATAGAAAATTACCGAGACGATCGCCTACAAGGTAATTGTAATATTTATGTACATAATATAATATGATCCTGTGAGATGAATAAAAATTTTTATTGACTCTATTTGACGACACGTTTGGCTCAGTTTGTTGTAACCCTACTTACTGTGCCAGGGGCATTCATTTGTGTGATATTGAATGTTTGTACTCAAGTTATAGGTGTTTATGTATGCACTAACTACTAGCTACTGCACTTCTTCTCCATATAAACTTTAAATTTATAAAAATTTTACTCTCATATTTTTTCCAAACAAAATTCAATCTTTACAGATACATAGAGAACACCACAATAGAGATAGAGAATGAGTTGGCGCGCGCGCCGCCGCGCCGCAGGAGCGAGGAGGATGACCTGCTGAGGAGGCAGGAGGAGTTCATCAACGCCAACAGAGCTGGTCTGAGGAGACGGTGAGTTGTCACTTTTCTACTTAACTGCCTCTTTAGGCAGTGGTACCCCTCCGCCCAGTCCCAGTACTTTCAACTCACTGTTTCTTAAACTGTCTATTTTATATAATTCAAACATCTTTTATAATTTCTTAATATTTATATATATTTTTTTCTATTCCAGTATGAGATCACCCTCACCGGTTCGTAGATCGCCTTCGCCAAGGAGAAGCCCTGAAAGAAGACCAAGGCCTTTAGATGAGGTGAAAATTATTATATTATATCGATATTTACATAAAATACTTATTATTTATTTTCAAAATATGATTTTAGCTTAATTTTGTTTTTTCTTTAACTATATTAAAGCATATCAGCATTCTATATAAAGTGTGAAACTAGTACGGAAACAAATACAAATAGTAATAGAAAAAATCCATACTAATATTATAAATGTAAAAATTTGTCAACTATACAAATAAACAATCCCCTGAACTGATTTAGATTAAATTTTATATGGAGATAGTTTGAGACCCTGGGACGGACCTAGGATAGTTTTTATCCCGAAAATCGTCCCTTAACGAGGTGAAAAGGGGAGTGGAAGTTTGTATGGCGAATCAATAATTTCTCAAGTAATCTTTTCCATACTAAGCGTCAATTAAATAATTTTTTGTGAATAACAAAAATGAAGAGGTCCTTAATTCCATCAAGTTTTTTAATGTAACAAATATAAATTAAGAAAACAAACATTATTTATAACAGTTTATACATGACAGAGATTTAAAATTGTGTACTTTTCAGGAGAGTGAATACAGAAGGAGAGTTCGTGAGCAGGAAAATTTGAGGGAGAGAGTTCTCCGGGCTAAGGAAGTGAGGCGAAGGAAGAATGCTGTGGCCTTGCAAAAGCATTTGTTAGATAAGTGAGTAAGAGAAAATAGATATAAATAAGAGAATGCAATATCTCGAGTCTATATTTAATATTAGTTTTTTTTTCAGTAAAAATATTTTATTTGTGTATAAATCAAAATACTGTATATGTTAATGTAACATTTTTTTAAAGTAGTGCAATAATTTTTTATGTCAATTTTCTTTGGATTTGTAGAGAATTTCATAATTTTCACAATATTTTATAGTGCTTTGTCAATTGTTTTTACAAAGATGTGTGTATAAATTAATAATTTTAAATTGAATAAATTGAAAACTAAAGTGACCCTTTACAAGAAAAAAGTTAAGCATTATGCTAAACGACAAACTTCAAAAAAATAAATTCTTGGACTTCTTTTGTATTCGCTAATGACCCTTGATCTGGCTCGAGGAACCACTATGTATATGACGTTAAGTTTGAGTATCGCTTGGTGGCTTTGGGTGCAATAGAAAGAACGTCTGTCCATCAAACGTGATTATTAAACTCAAAATTTAAAATGAAATAGTCCAACGGACAATATGGTTATGTAAATAGCAAATCAATAATAAATTGCAGGGAGAAGGAAAAAAATATGGCACAAACGCAGAAGGAAGAAACAAAGTCCCCCGAACTCAAAGAGAACAAACCGACAAACGTGAATATAAACACAGTTGAAGAGCAAGAGAAGCCGGACACAACAAGGAAGACACCAGAGAGGGAAAAGATAGAGAGAATGGAGAGAGAGCGATCGCCAGTGAAAGTGGAGAGTGCAGAAGCAAACTCTACATGTGGTATGTGAATATTATTAATAGAGATGTGCCCGAATGTTCAGACGAATATTTGTATTCAATGTTCGGAGTTTTTTTTTTGTATAAGTGTTTAAAAAAAAGTTGGCCGTCACGTGACGCCCGGCAGATGTGAAACATCTATGGTAATATTAGAATTCATAATTAATAGAAACCTATAACGAAATATAGAGTAAAATAAAGAAAAAAATGTGTCGTTAATAAAATCAATTTTTTTTTTGTTATTTTATTTATTATAATAATAACAGAATATATTTATGGTTTAATAGAGATATAGTTTTACAATGGAGCGTGTATAATAGATTACTGTCACGGCATACGAGTCGGTTTTTTCGGTTCGGTTCGGTTCGTAATCATGGCGCTTGTAACGGTGATGATATATCGCGAACTCCCAAAAGTAAGTCATAAAGATGGTTAACTAGCGACTCACCCTCGCTTCGCTTCGGATTCGTGCCTAGGCAAAAACAAATCTAATGCAAAAAGAATTTTTCAAATCGGATTAGTAGTTCCTGAGATTAGCGCGTTCAAACAAACATACAAACAAACTCTCTCTTTATAATATTAGTATCGATTTATAAACAAAACAAAAACACCATAATTCAACTGTTATAAACCTGTGTCGCGTAGTGAAAATGAACCTAATTTGTCAAAATATTCGATTCGGCTAAACGCAGATTCGTCGCGACTTCACTTAGCGGCTTACTATTTAATAGATACTCAATTTGGATGTCTGTTTTTATTTTTGTATGTATGTTTCGTGATACTAAGGATCTGAGGATCACATAATTTTCAACATAATTTATAAGTTTTGATTAAATACACTTTTTCAGTTGAAAACTCATTAACATTTGAATATATATTTCTTCAGATAATTTAACGCCGCCACGTGAAAACATACCCAAAACATCGCCAGAGAGAAACCTAACACCCCCTCTACCGAAGGAGGACAAACAGATTGACAGTGATGACGATTTAGATTTAATATTAGACGATATAGATGACATATTGTCGGATGACGATGATAGTGGACGGTTTAAGGAAAAACCAAAAAAGTGAGTATATTATGTTTATACATAATGGTAGAAAAATGGACTACTATCGATGTAGCTAATAGAAAACTAAGAAATGCTTTCTACAATTGTTTTCATATGGTCAAGTGTGAGTCGATTTCGTGAACAAAAAGTTATGTATTTATATAAAGCGGCTTTGACACTTGACCATTCTTTACTTATTAGAGACTTACCCCCGCTTCGCTTCGGATTCGTCCCTAGACAAAAACAAATCTATCCCACGGGAACCGTACGTTTTCCGGGATGTTATATAACCTATAGCCTTCCTCAATAAACGGGTTATCTACTCCAAAAATAATTTTTCAAATCGGATTAATAGTTCCTGAGATTGGCGCGTTCAAACAGACTCTGCCTCTTTATAACATTAGTATAGATTTATTATGCTTATCTGTTCATAAAAGTCTTAAGTTTAAAAATTGGTATAAATAAAATTAACATTGACCTGACTGACATTTGGCTCAGTTTGTAGTGACCCTACTTGCTGTGCCAGCGGTCGTGGGTTCGAGGTCTGCTGGGGTCATTCATTTGTGTGATGAGCATGAATGCATGTATTTAAAGTTATATGTGTAATGTATCAACTATCTGGTATCCATAACACAGGCCTCGTAGCTTACCATGGTACTAGATGTGTGATAACGTTTCAATATATTTAAAAAAAAACATTAAAGTAAAATATAAATGGTTAAACTAAAATGGTTTTTAGCATTTATTAAATAAGGCCTCTTATACATTTTCCAAATGCTCCATACATTTTTTCTTCTTTTTGGTGCACAATATAGTTATTATTTTTAGTAGAGACTCACCCTCGCTTCGCTCGGGTTCGTCCCTAGGTACGTTTTGTTTTTTTTAGCAGTACACTAATTCTTTTACTGAAATTAAAGTAGCCTAATTTACTCCTTATAACATCATCTACCTATCAGTTTGAAAGTCCCGTCAAAATCGGCCCAGCCGTTTCAGAAAGAAACAGACAGACAGACAGAATTAAAAAAAAAGTCTTTTTCTTATAAATACCGTATATAATATGCACAATATGCGTTTAGTAAAAAGCTGTTATTTTGACATTACAAAAAGATGCTTCAATTTATTTTATCTGTATAGATTAATAATAATAATTTACTTGCAGAGTGGAAGAACCACCAAAGAAACAAGTTGATCTTCGCTCCAAATTACCACCCAAGGCCGTTGAACCCAAAAAGCCCAAACAGAAAATTGTATTCAACGATCATATCGAAGAGAAGAAAAAGAAAGGTAAAGTATTTTCCAAATGAAAAATAATGTAATGATGTTTAAAATTTTGATATAAAAATAGAACATTTATCTTTTAATGACGTGTCTAGTGAAAAACAAAAACAAATCTATCCCACGGGAACCGTACATTTTTTCGGGATGGGACATAAATTACTTTTTACTATTCCAGACTATAATCTATCTATGTGCCAAACTTCCATCCATATCTGTTCAGCCGTTCTGAGTAACAAGTGTCCAATCAAACTTTCGCATTTATTATATTGATGAGGTGAGGTAAAATAGGGGGCATTCAATATATACGTGAGCTCCAAATGGTGCAGGAGGGTTCCAGTAATATTTCATCAATCGCATTTACACTGAGGGGGGCATAATTAAAAATCTCATATTCACCTCATAATAAAAAATATTAAAATGCCTTTCATGTCTTGTCAAAGGACTGCATTCACATTTCAACAGAAACATATAATGTACTGGGATAAAACATTGCATATTTTTTAAATTTTTTAATCTATTCTTAGTTTTTTTTAAATATTTAAAAAAATTTCAATTCAGCCGTTAAAAAAATCAACCCCTAAAGATGAATAAATTACTCTTAAACCAATTTCGAAGTCGTTTAATTTGGGTTTTGTTTTAAATTAAATATTGGTTCTGTTATATACAAAAATAAATTAATTTCATATATATAATAAATTAATTTAATATAATTAAAACATAAGTAATTTCGTCTTTAAAATTATTGTACCTATACATAGAAAAGTAATGATGTATTTTTGATCAACAGAAAAATCGCCGATACGCAGGACTGTACTGGGCACAAATAAGCATGTGAACAACGAAAAAACAGAAGCTAACACTGAAAAGGTAAAGATATCTACACAGATAAATAAATTTGAAGTGTCCGTTTTTAATGTCAAAATAACAGTTTTTTACTAAATGCGTATGAAAGTATATATGGTACTTATACGAAAAACACAATTTTTATAATTTTTGTCTGTCTGTATGTTTGTCTGTCTATTCTGGCTAATCTCTAAATCGGCTTAAATGAAATTTATTTTTAACCTGTTTAGGATTCTATTTATTTATCCAGGAAAACAAATCCTACATACAGACAAACAAGTTGTACTTATTTTTACTTTAAGTGCATAGATATGTAAAAGTATAGATAAACATTTCGTAACAAATTTTCAAATCTCTTTAATTGTTTATTGCTTTTCGGATGACAAAATTAAAACGCACATTGTTTTGTTAAAAAACATCTTTGTTGTATACGTAAGTTCGAATTAGATTTTATCTATTTTATAGAAAAATAATAAACTTTTAGATTTTTATTTTTAAATACATCGGATATTAGAGAGTATATAAGATATTAGATATAAATTAGTCTGAACTTTAGATAATTAGAACTGTCGATTTTTGAATTTTATTCTTTGGTTTGACTTAATGTCACGAAGCGACGCCACTTTTAGAATACATATGTGTATGTTATGTTTTTATATATCAATGGTTTTGTATCCATATACTATATACAGATGACACCACCTGTTGGCAAATTTTATTACTAACAGTAGCCTATATGTTGCTCTAGTAGTAAGTCTGTGTACTTAAATTTCATCCAAATATGTCCAGCTGTTCCAGCGTGAAGGACCAACGTACATACACACACATACATACATACAGACTTTCGCATTTATAATACTAACACGATTATAAGTGTAAATGTAAGTGATATTTTCTGTATTTTTTAAAATAATTTCTGCATATATAATAAATTATAAATTTCTCAATTGTTCAATAAAGCATTTTAATATTATTATCAAAGGTATTATAGTTATTTATTTGTTCTTTTAGATTTTGCCCAAAGTAGAAGTGACTAACGCCAGTGCTATAAAGTCCAGACAAAAAATTATATTTGACAATAAAGAGGTTAGTTTCTCTTTATTTTATTTATTTGTGAATTTTACAAATATTATAATGGAAAATAAAAATATTACTTATAATATTTAAATAAAGTATTAGTATTGCTTTTAAAAAAATAGTATAAGATTTTTTTTCTTAATATTATAATCCTTTCATAAATGAACTATTTTATTTCTGTATCTATAATTAGTATTTACAAATAAATATAGCTAAATTAAATACATAATATTATTCTCACGTATTATGTTATTTATATTTATATATTGTCGAATTATTATTTTGAAACATATTGTAAATAATACTTATCGATCAGACATAGTGTTATAATTATTATAAATTTAAGATATAAATAAACAAAAATGGATAATTTTTCAGGTAGAAAAAGAGAAAGACAAAGACAAACTGAAAGCCGAAGACAAAAAATTCCCCAACCGTCGAGTCATACTGCAACGTAAAGTCCCGGAAAAATCGGTATTCTCCCGAATAGAAACAACCGATCCCACCAAACCCAATCCCGGGATCTTCAGCCGAGCTGTCCGCACCGCTATACGAATCCCGGAGAAATCCCGGATTGTGATAAAGAACGCCCAAATCGACTATCAATCTGATTCAGACGATAATATATTGGACCAAGAAGTAGGTTTTGTGGCAGAAGTAACGAATTTGCCGTTTGGAATGACTGATACAAGGATGAAAACCCTCGCAGGACAAGACGTTCAGGTAATAGTGATGGGATGCTTCAAATGTCGGATAGGGGTAGGAATGGGGCGAATAGTGAATCCCGGGTTGTACGGGATGATAGTGTTAGGTTGTTGATTGTGAATGGAACTTGGCTTTTTTTTAAAGGGTTGTATGATATTTGTTTTTAATATTTGTGAATATGCGATTTTAGTAAAATAATTTAAAAAACTTTATACAATATATAGATTTATTTATTTCTCTGTCGTGACCACGATTGCTGTAAAGTATTTGAAATGTCTGGAACCAAATATCAAAATAATTCCGCGAAAAAGTCCGAAAAGATTATTTTATTTAATTAATAAAACTTACGTTTTAGTATAATTTACAAACACTGTTTTTGTTAGATTATTTTAAAAATTATAACAAAAAATTAAAAGAAGAGTCTCGTATTTTTTCAAGCGGTTTGATATAAAATAATACAAACTTAAGGAATTCAAAATAATTGATTTCTTAAACAAAAAACCAATAATCGTAAAATACATTTTAACTCTTAATTGATCACAGATATTTTCCTTCGACGCTACCAAAAAGAATGATAGATATACATTCTCATAATATAAGTAATTTTTCAATTATTATAATATTAAGACTGATTTAGTTGTTACGTTATTTTTATATTATTTTCTTAGTTACTGAAATTAGTCATGAATGAAAGTAGTACAAATTGAAATAAAACTTATAATAAATTCCATTATTAACTTAAATAAATTTTGACTAAAATTAAGTATCCATAAAATATACTTATTTTCTGCGTGTTTTTTCTTTATGTAATGAGATTAAAGTGTTATTTTAAAGCTCCTAAAATATCTTTATGCGTAACAATAAATACATGTCTACATATAATAAAATTGTAACTAAGCCGAATCTGTACATTAGATATTTTTTGAAAAATCTTATTGAAATAAACATTATTATCGATACACAGGTCGAATCAATGGTTTTTAGAATTTTTGTCTGTCTGTTACCACATCACAGATAAACCACTGGAGGGATTTTGATGAAATTAGTATGGTGATAGCTGGTTATCCGGGTCGACATATAAGATACTTTTTACAGCGGGAAAATATCTCATTTCTGAGAAAAAATACAAAAACTGCAATGTAAGAGTATGTAAAACCTAAGAATTGGGTTTTTGGTCATCTGAACACGGGCGGAGCCGCGGGCAATGCTAGTTCATAACATTTAAATAGATATAATATGATAATGATTTCAATACAGTTGAACAATGACAATATTCTTAGAACAAGAACAAGCAAGTTCTTAAAAGAACGGGCAAAAGCATTTTTTAATGTTTTTATTTTTATTTATTTTTATTAATAACTTTAACGGTAATAATCAAAAATTTATGAAAAAACTGTTTCTTGCAATCTTTGAATGATTTTTCTTACTTGACTTCAGTTCTTAAAAAAACGTTTTATCCTAACTGGTTATTTGGCGATTTTTTTAAAATTCTTATAAATTTGAATTAATAATATTTATTAATATAAATTCGATAAATAAAATATGTATAAAAGAATACATTATATTTATTAAACCATTAATAATTGTTTTTAATAAAACTTTTCTAGGCATTTAAGGTCAACAAATCAAATTCGCTAAGTTCCATTTTCTAACTTAAATTAATAATAATCGACGAACGAAATTCAATAAATTTAGTGAAGTTCCATGAATTTACGAACAAACTTACTTAGTTCAAAAAATTAATTAAAAAAATATATTATATTACATGGTCAATAATAATTTTCACTACAAACATAGCTATGAGACTGAATAACCACAACATTTCTTTAATAAAAATCAAATTTATTGTGTTCGTACATACGAATGTTGTCTTCAAATATTTAGTTTATTTTTAATTTACTTTTAAATTATTAAAGTAATGTTCATTACTTTAAAATTATTGAATTATCTGTAATAACATAATTAATAAAGCCAAATACGATAGATAAACGTATAGTTGCATTTAAAAAATATTAAACAATACAGGGGATAGCTACTATATTTGCCAAGTTAAAACTAAAGACATTTAGAGCATCTCCATTTTTTTCAAAATGATATTATTATTACTGTGATATGAATCTGTGATATTTATTTATGTATTATATATTATCTGTAATTTAGTTTTTAAGTATTATTAGGATATATTATAATAAAACGTATTTTTGACTTTTTTATTATTACTAATATTATTCACTTGCTGTTGCAAAGTGTTTTGTAAGCAAGTGAAAGTTTGAGTTAATTTTACATAACTTTTGAAGCTCTGTTAGTGAACTGTGAATATGTCATTTGTAGTTTTAGTTCTAAATGTAAAAATATCGAATATTGAATGTCTATATTCTACATTATACTCCAACATTTATTTGGGTTCATTTGTTATTATCAAATAAGTAATAACAATTTAATTTATGATTATAAAATAACAATTTAAATATTAGAAGTTTAAATTAATTTTTAAACGCTCGCAAAAATTTGCTTTATAAAGACAAACGTTAATGATAAAATATATTAATAAAAAAACGTTAATAATAATATACTATAAGATAAACTTTGAGATTTTTACTGTATACATAAAATTTTAAATAATATAATATGACTCGATCTAAATAACGAGAATATACATTTTGAAATAAATATACAAATATGTTAATATCATTATTTACAAATGTTAAACTTGGCTAAAGCACTGCCGTGCACTCTTATTATTTGAGTTATTTATTTATATGAATAATTAATAATAATAATATTCTTTGAGAAAGTGCTTTAATTGATATTATTATTGATTTTAATTGTTTTAGTAAAATTTAGGGAAGTTTATTGATGTGAATCGAATCTGTGACCTCTTTTATTATATCCAAAGCCTTTTTATATGTCAAAATAAATATAAAGATCAAAGTTCAAAATATAATATTATACTTATATTATATACATATTGTCAAAAAATAAGTGTTAATAAAATAAATCTTGATAATATTATATATTTATGTATAGAAGCTAATTTATATGTATACAGTGTGGAAAAAAATGGAAAATTTTCAATTATTACAAACACCACTTATATCGGTTTTTTATATATATCAAACACTTTTAAATTTTAAATTTAATGAAACATCATTCATATAAAAGTTATTTTGGTTGATTTTTGAACTTATTTATAGTTTTGGTTTTTTTTTGCATACTGTAATAATAGAAGCTTTTAGAGAAGCGGTGAAATAAGAAAAGTGTTATGTTATATATTGAGTTAGTTATGGGTATATTGGGGTGTAAATGGAATAAATTTGTTTAATGTGGTAGTAAAAATATTTTTGTATATATACGAGTATATAATTAATTAGACTCACATTCGCTCAGCTCGGGTTCGTCCCCAGATACGTTTTGACGTTTAGTATATATTTCTCAGAGATTAGGTATTTTCCCGCAGTAAAAAGTATCCTATACAAGTAAAGTTGACAGCTATCGTCATACCAAACTATCGAAATCTGTCTAGAAGTTTCATACAAAATTTCATTCAAATCTGTCCAGTGGTTTTCTCATGATGCGTTCCCAGACACAGAGACAGACAGACAGAAATTTTAAAAACTATAGATTCGGCCTCTGTATCAATAACAATGACTATTTTAATAAGATTTTCCAAAAAATATTTATTGTACAGATTCGACTCAGAAATTATTATATGTATAGATTATGTATTAATTTTGTAGAATGTCAAATGGTAACATAACATAGAAGTTTTATTTTTAACAAAAAAAAATATATTCATAAAAAACAATTTATTCAATATGAATGAAATTTAAAAGTCCTTTTTAATTAATTTTTAATCCTAATAGAAATTAATATAAAATGATAGTTCTTGACCGAATATAATATAATAAATAAATAATAGTGTAGGAGCCAGCGGCAAAATTATTATGTTTAAATACTACGAAATATATATATATATATATTGGTTGATTTTGAATAATTACAAGATGTGAGATAGAGAGATGAGATTTTACGTACAAATTACATACCAATAATATTGTAAATATACTATATCATTTTTAAAACGAGTCAAATAGAAAGTTTTTTGTAACTATATTGATTATTATAATAATAAATAAATACATAAATATGTTGGGACTCATCGCACCATCTACATAGTTACATGGTAAGCTACGAGGCTTGTGTTATGGATACCAGATAGTTGATATACTACACATATATAACTTTAAATACATATATATCTATACATATAATAAAATTGTAACTAAGCCGAATCTGTACATTAAATATTTTTTGGTAAATCTTATTGAAATAGACTTTATTATCGATACAGAGGCCGAATCTATATTTTTTAGAATTTTTGTCTGCCTGTCTGTTACCGCATCACAGAAAAACCAGTTGAGGAATTTTGATGAAATTTGGTATGGTGATAGCTGGTTATCCGGGTCAACATATAGGATACTTTTTACCGCGGGAAAATGTCTCATTTTTAAGAAAATATACAAAAACTGCAATGTAAGAGTATACTAATATGTAAAACCTAAGAATTTGGTGTTTGGTCATCTGAACGCGGACGGAGCCGCGGGCAATGCTAGTTATAAATATAAACCTTCACATAAATGAATGCCCCCAGCGGGATTCAAACCCGCGACCGCTGGCACAGCAAGTACGGTCACTACAAACATAGCTAAACTAAGTGTTTTTTTTAAATAAATTTCTTGTTTTATTAATGTAACTGAAACAAGTTTAGACCATACTTATCCCATGATAACCCATAAATAAGATTTAATGCAATATTTTTGGTATAAAACTTTAATGTATGATTAATTTTATGTAGTGGTATAATGATAATAATGCTTAATGACTCTGAAAGTCATTTTCGAAAACAACAAAATGGCGCTCAAATGAAAATTTACTATGTATTTAACATTTTTCCTATTTCCTCTAGCTTTGTAAATGTATAAGGCATATATATAGTCTAAGAGCCTGCAGTGAAAAAGTGGATTAATGTTGCAGAACTTAATATTGGATAAAGAAGAAAGGAGCGCTAAAATAACCTTCAAAACAACAATCGCAGCGGAGAATTTCAAGAAAAAATTTAACAACAAAATGGTTGCCGCCAGTCGTTTGACAGTCTGTTTGAAATAGATGTCTTTCTGTTCGGTTTTTAGAGTTTGTATGGAATGTAAGCTCTAGATAAGTTATTAAAATATTCTTTGCCCACAAAATAGTTGTAACTGATAAACTCAGTGCCCGTTATTTTTAAAACGATATTTAAGTTTGTTTTAAATCAAATGGATCAAGTTACGTGTGGAAAGAATTTCAAAAACAGTCTTAAATTCTAAAAAATATTTTGGTTTATTATTTTAATAGGAAATGTAGTTTCTCTTTTAAGATTTTTTTTCAATTTGATACAGATTCAAGTGAATTGGAAATTGGTGTTTGATAAAAATGTAGAGTGCACTTGTTTTTTTTTTAAAAAAGAATTTTTTATAGAGATATCTTAATTGTTTTAAAATATTGCAAAACCTATTTTAAACCTACAATTTGTTTTGGCATTTATAATTCGAATAATTCATTATATTAACTAGCTTATTAATTATTATGTACCAAAAATGTGCTAACCCAACAATTCGATGTTTTATAAAGTTTTTTTTTCTTTTATTATATAATAGTTTCTATTATTTCTGTATGTTATTGGATAGCTTAGACACTCTATGTTCAGTGACTGACAAATACATATTTTTTGTGCTATTCCTCCATTTTTGACACTTTATAGGTTAGCACATTTTGGAATAGCAACATCATTCATATTTACTAGTAAGTATATCCTAAGAATAAATGTTGTTTTAGATTTTTATGTAACTTTTTTTTCCTAAAGTGTCTAGTAAGTTTAATATTGAATTTAGATTTAATTTTAAAGACATAATAAACTTCTCATAATGTAGCTCACAAATATTTAAATCGTATTACAGTTATTTGTAATAATATTAAGTCGAAGAAAATTGAAAATAATAATTATGTACTATGTTCAATATGAGACCTTTAGTTCATTCAAAAGACCTCAGTGACGTTTGCACTTAATATTTTGTGAAAAAACAATATTTTATATAAAATTAAAAAAAAAGTTCTATTACAGAGATGAAATGTATTTGTCATACAATTGTGTATGGTTTTTTTCCTATTTTCATTAATATTTTGTATGTCTGTCACAATATTTTATTCTCTTATATATAGAATATAACCCATTCAGTGCAATTTGTATAACTTTGAATGGTTGTTTTTTATTTGTGAATTGATTTTATTTACTTAACATTCGTTTGTAAAAATTTAACGTAACTGATTCTTCGCATCGAACGGGTGCAATATGTAAAATTTTATTACTTTCAGTAATAGCTATTCGTAGCGTTATATAGAAAATTCAACAATCAAACTCGTTTCGTAGTTATTTAAAATTTGTATCATTTTTAAATGCTAACTTTTAACTCGTATCCAATATATTATTTACGAATTTATTCTAGTTCTAGTATCATCCTCTCAGATACTAAACTCAATTATTGTTATAGCTTAAGCTGCTTAGATTTTTAGCTTGAAACTTAGTTTTAGACGCAGTTTTGTTACATTTCTCTGATGGAATAAGACGCTTGCTTTATTTGAATAATTGATTTAACGATTTAACTATTAAAACTTTTCAGTTAGTGATCTTTTTAGAGAGCGAGAATAAAATGAGAAATTACAATTACATATATAGTAAAAAGTATACTATATCTAACAAAAATATTATTGGTCTTAAAAAAATGATATTATATAACTGCCGAGTTTATAGAAATGCTACAAATGATTATAATCCATATTATTTAACTTTCGAATATATTAAATATTCAATACATTTTGCAAATTACTGTCTGAAAAGCTTTACGATTAAACTTTCGCGTTTTAATGTTACACTATTACCGTAATTAGGATTAAATAATGTAACTTTCAAAGTAAACCTTTAAATATTTTACATACATTGTTTAAATAGTTTACACAATTTATGTATATATATATATATATATATATATATATATATATATATATATATATATATATATATATATATATTTCAATTTCTTTATAAATTATATCATATCATGACATTACAATAAAAAAAAGAAATAAATATGAAATTTGCTTATTCTTCCCAATAAAGCTCTAAAAAATGTCGCCAGCTCTTATACTGTACGTATAAGTTTCGTTCATTTTTAAATGTATTTTTTTTCTTTATTTGACGTACCTTTATGACGTTTTAAAACTAAAATTAGAATTAGTCTAGATGTTAAATGGTTCTTGTAATAAACTGTATCGATAGTGAAACATGTTTTCTTTTATAACAGCCTGTGACGATCTCAAATAAAATACAACAAATGAAAAATAAATCGTTTTTTATTTATATATCGATAATGAAAGCTGTATCGATTTTGATAATATTGTAACACTGCCATATAAAGTGGTTTTTTAATCACTCAATAATTTTATTTCCAGTGTAATTTTTTGTAATGGCGTCTTAGCATTTCGGCAGATTTTTGCTTGTATTTGTGAATTGTATGCCCGAATGTAAACTCGCCATAAGAGTAAAGAGCGTTTTTAATATTATATGTAATATAATATTCGCACGTCGATGTTTTGAAGACTGATAAATTGAATAAATATATTTGAAAAGATTTTTTTCTTTTATTTTTTATTCTTGTGCCCGATAATAAAATTGTATTCATATTGATATATGACTGATATTTGTGGTAGGTAGGTCACACAAATGAAATTAAAAGTGCGTACGACTTTTTTTCTCCTTTCTATTGTGCATTACTTACTCGATAATGGCTGGATCGAATTTAATGGGACTTGTATTATTTTCTTAAATCACTTTTAAATAGAAAGGTACGACTCAAAAATTCAATAATTATTTTACCTTTGGGGATGATTTATTTTTAATTTATAAATTTTTCCATCCTCTAGTAAATAAATAAATTAAAAAAATATACTTACAAAATTTTATTTTTTCACACACACAAGTGGTCCTAAGACTAGTAATTTTGTATAAAAAATACACTAAATACAAAAGAATTTGGAATCAGTATTATATAAATAAAACCACATTTTTTTATATAAATCTTGTTTATTATTTATTCAGATGTTAACACACCAACGCATAATTTTTCATAAAAAAAGAATATATACAAAACATCACTACCGAATCTGACCCGTTTCCTTATATTTAAATACATTCCTATGTAAAAATATCCACTCACATTTATAAAACTTTTTATCTACTTTCAATTATTTTTTTTTACTTTTTATAATTTATTATTAAAAATGGAGGAATTACACTTATATTATTATTATTTAATATTTAAAACTATCATAAAAATATTTTCTTTTACATTACCTATACTACTTATGGGAGATTTATAAAAATGATTTTGAATAGATAAATAAAAGTCATATTATATAAAATGAGTAAAATTAACAAATAAAATTTGAAAAAATCAACCAATATCCACAATTTAACAAACCCTGGAAAACCATTATAGATACAATTTTACAAAATAAATTATTCTTAAAACCCCCATTCATATCACATACTAACAAATATAAAAACAAATAAAAAAATTACTAACCAAAAAAATTATTATATGTCAGTACATATTTAACAAAAATATCGACTGTTTAGAACAATAGTGTAACTATGTACTAATATCATCATAAAAATCCTTATATGTATTTAAAATTGCTAAAATGCTGACAATATTCCTCCATACTGATGTCGTTATATTAATAACTAGATCTACATCTAAATCGGTTCAGTAGATCCAGAGATTACCCCCTACAACGTCACAAACTCACAAACTTTACCTCTTTATAATATTAGTATAGATGCCTTATATCTTGTTTGTATATTTGTTATTGTTTAATGAATGTTCGTATGTTTGTTCTCTACGCGTTCCTAAACCATTCAAGTTTTCATTTCATTCAAATCGCTAGTTACTTACCTATATAAAAACATGCAATACCTGTTTTATTTATATGTAGAGAGTCATTTTTGAAACTACAGATATTTGGACTTTTAAAGCAAAAAATTATCTCGAATGAGTACAACTTTAAATTATTATAACTTTAAAGTATATTTACATTTGTCATTTCTTTTATTGAAAATTAGAAAGTAAAAAATTCGTATAAATAAGAACATTGCTAACTAAATCGGTTGAGTGAGATCTACACTTTACAAAAAAGCAGGGGAATTAAATTGTACAACAGTCAATTAAAATAAAAAATAAAATTATTTATACTTATATTATGCATTAGTAATTTTTTTTACTATTGTATAATAAAAGTATAGAACAAAATGAGTGCGTGTTACGTTTACGCGCGGTCTTTCTTCTTATATCTTTGGCGCTGCGGCAGATACCGCAATTACATTACAACAAAGCAAAATATAAATATTATAATTATTATAAACTTATTAATAATAAAGATATACTTTTATAAATAATAATTATTATAAAAATCTAAATATATTTTTTCTTTTTTTGAAATTATTAACAATTGATTCTCACTTCCGCTACACTCACTTTTTCAATGTATTGACTGACTCAAGCCTAATAAAGTTTTACTTCAAAAACACTAAAGACCTTAAAAAATTACATTAATTTATAAATTTTTGGGATTTTTGAAATCAAAATTTGTAATTATTGGTGAATGTTAAAAACGTAGCTACATTGAAATATTCCGGCATCGCTTGAATTAGCTTCTTATATTCATCTGTGAAGTCCTCGGGATTATAAATTTTGTGGGCGTGGTGGGAAATGTCTGCTATAATTTGGGATTGAAGTTCCTTTGGTACCTAATTATTAAGAAAAAATATCTTTTTGTCTAAATGTTTTTTTAATAATTAATAATAAAAAATATTCAATGATATAAAATTCCAAATAATAATATCTAGATTTAAACTAAATAAATATTAAATATATTTTTTTATTTAATTATTAAATTATTTAGATCTTTTTAAACGTTCATATATGAACGTGAACATACATTACTAAAACTTAAAAAAACGACATTCACTAAAGTGGCTATTATAAAGATTCATTCATAAATTGAATCATTCATTCAAAAACTAAGGGAGAGGATCTAAAGAATGATTTTCAGAGTTAATTATTTAAATCACTTGATATTACGTTCAGAGTAACAAACAAACAAACATACATACATACACACACAGACACAAACTTTCGCATATAAAATAATTACATAAATGGTAATTACAAATATATCGTACCTTTTCAAATATATCGTACATCCGATAAAATAGGGTACCAACTCGAAAAGCCTAGATTTTCAGAAAAGCGAAAGCAAACACACGGATTCCTTACACAATCTTTATTTTTAACCCCCGGACGCAAAAACGACGGGGCGTTATAAGTTTGACATGTCTGTATGATGTGTTTGCTGTGGCATCGTAGCTTTCAAACGGATAAATCGATTTTGATTTTGTTTTTTTTGTTTGAAAGTCGAATTAGTAGCAGTCGAAGGAGGTGTTCTTAGCTATGTTTGATGAAAATCGGTCCAAGATGGCCGCCGCCACAAAATGGCGGATTACATATTTTTTCATATCTCCCTCAATATGAGTATCAAATGAAATGAATTGACTAGTAGAATACTATACACTATGATAAATTTAAAATTCAAGATTGCCGCCACCACAAAATGGCGAATTACATGTCGGCGTTTTTTTTTCAATTTTTAATTTAATATACAAATTATATTAACTTGAAAAGGTTACAAAAAATTCTATTAAATGACAATCTGTTTTTCAATTTTCCTGACAAAAAAAAACCTGAAAATTTTCATGTAACCATTTTAGAGAAAATATTTAATAACATATTTCGTGTTTTTGTATATTTTACTCATAATTAGAATTTTTTACGTGATGCGATATGTTGTCACAAATAAGCCAAAGTTACGATATTTATATGAAAAGTTGTATTACTTACATGAAATACTAATTGGAATTCCAAAGGCCGAAATTCCTTTTGATAAGTCGCCATTGTTTGTATGATGACATACACTTTTCTACCGTTTTGTACCATTGTTTCCTTTAAAGGGGACTCGAAGGACCATTTTTCCAATGTTACGTTCAAACGAGGCCAAATTGTTATTGAATTTTGAGTTGAACCTGTTAATGGAAATGGTACGAGTATATTTAATTATTTAAAAAAAAATGAATTTGTAACTGACTTCAAAAAAAGGAGATTCTCGTTTGTTCTACGTACTTTTGATTTAATAAGCTATAATACTTTAAAAATAAACTTAAAGGCTACAAACAGTAGTTAAACATTTTATTGCATAATATGAATTAAAAATAACATAACATTTAATAAAAAAATTAACTTCATAATAACATGATACTTTATAATGGTGTTTAATTTAAAATCGATTTTAATGATGTACTTATTAAGTACAATTTAGATTTGTTATCAGTATAATAATAAAAAACATATTTTTTAAACTCAACTTAAAAAAAAACCTTACCATTCAAAATAAAATTCATCACGCAAGTATCTTCTACACATGATCTGTTATCCAAACTTAATGAATGTTTAAATTCAGCGGGCGGAGCCATTTTGACAAACAAACTGCCTTTTCTATTTAAAAAATGTAAAAATACTAATTATTGGAAATAATTAAAATTGTGGCGAACGAAACATGCAATTGTAAATTATATAGGAATAAGGAAATATAGACGCACATTTTACTATGTTGATAAAAATATATATAATATATGTATTACCATTTATCATATATTATATCATATAAAATAGAGAAACCTTACAATTTGATTAGGAAATTTAAAAAAAACCAATTAAGCACTTAAAAAAATCCCCCCTTACTTAGTAAAGTTAGACTAATGAATACACAAAAGATATAAATAAATATGTTGGAACATTAACAATCAGCACCATCTAGTTCTATGGTAAGCTACGAGGCTTGTGTTATGGATACCAGATAATTGATACACTACACATATGTAACTTTAAATACATGTACATATTATAAATATAAACACCCATGACTGGAGTACAAGCATTCGTGCTCATCACACAAATGAATGCCCCCAGCGGGACTCGAACCCGCGTTCGCTGGCACAGCAAGTAGGGTTACTACAAACTGAACAAAACCTTATACATAAAAAAAACAATACCAGTTTTTTTATCGATCCAACGTAAAAATATTAGTATGTTAGTTAAAAGTAATTACATAAATTTGTCGAACCGCGGCCTGTACAGTGGCATTTTACAATAAAGAAACTCTTCACAATCGTCGTCTGTAATAGGCTTTATGTCACTGTCAGTTATTTTGAAAGCTGTCATGGAACTGTCATTCCTGTTCGATCGACCGTCAATGTCATTTTTGACGTAAAAGGGACTGTTCTTTATAGCCTCTAAAGCATATTGAACAGAATATAAGTCCACTTTAGTTATAACAACTCCTGAGATTTGTTCCATTTGTGTAAAGTTTTTGTTGTACGTAGTTATTTGTGTATGCTGAAAAAATATGGACATTTATATAATAATTTTGTTTAACTAAAATATTTATTAAAATAATACACGCCATGTTTTTTTATTTTTAAATTAAAATAAATAGCACAAATCTTAATTTCTTCACTAAAATTGATGATAGAGGGTGCTGGAAAAAATATGAATGATTGTCCTTAAAAAAAATTGGTCGTAAAACTAAAAAAAGTTATGTCAACAACAGCGCCACCTACATACAGTCCAATATCTAAGACTTATACAAATAACACTGCATAAAAAAACACACTATACACAAAAAAAATCATCAAAATTCATACTAATATTATAAATACGAAAGTTACTGTCTGTCTGTCTGTTACCTTTTCCTATTTCACCCGCTGAACTTATTTAGATGAAATTTGGTATGAAGACAGAAGATAATTTGAGACCCTGGAAAGGATATAGGATAGTTTTTATCCCAGAAATCATCCCTTAAGCGAGGGTAGGTCGGTAGTTTATATATAAAAGTAGATAGACTTACAAACCAATAATGCCTTTGAGTTGTATTTTCACCACGGTACGGACTCATTGGAATAAACATTATAACTATACATATCAACGATGCAATAGAAATAACCGCCCACGCATGTTTCCGACTGAATAGCAATTCGATTCCCGACTGAAATAAAGAAAAAAGGTGCGTATACTAGCATATAAATTTAGGAAAATACTATTAAAACCATTTTTAACAAGAAATTTTTTTTATACAATAAATATTACCGAGTTTGTTTATCCATTTGTTATTTTTAATTTATTTTAATATACTATAAAAAATAATATTTAATATACTATAAAGGGGTCGTAGTAGCCCAGTCCTAACGCGCTCGCTTGGGAATCCGAGTGTAGCGGGTTCAAATCCCAAGCCTTGCACTTCAGATATTTTCATGTACGAATCATTTCCAACATGACAACCACTTGTCCTACGGTGAAGGAAAACATCGTGAGGAAACCTGCATGTCTGAGAGAACCTAGCAAGTTTTCGAAAGACATGTGAAGTCCGCCCGCACTTGGATAGCGTGGTGGACTATGGCCTGATCCCTTGAGTATTGAAGGGACGCCCACCCCTAGCAGTGGGACGTTAAAAAAGTAAATAACCAAAAATATTTAATGATACCAAAAATACTTTAAAACAATTACCATAGTTAAACCAACGATAGCCGCTAAGCCCACACTGACAATGGCTATCACAATATCAGGATAATCGTTCCCAGACCGACCCATAATCGGTATTAACAGCAATGTAAAACGAAACGCGAGAGAAAAACAGAACATTGTTGCTGGTAATGTTAGTAATACTTCCAGGATTAAATGTCGCCAGCCTAAAAAATAAATGTGACGATTTTTTATATTTATTACATTTCTCAACTTATTGTCATACTTAATGTTGTTTTTTCTTGAAAGGTATTAAGCAAAATTATTTTGAATTCATTTATATAATAAAAAACATTATTTTTTTACTTTTAAAATTCAATTATTTAAATCGATACAATATTAAGCAATTTACTGAGTTCAATTCACAATGTGGTCAAAAACTAGCACTACATAATACATTTTTTATCAAATTATTTTATTTTTTTCAATATACACTATATAATAAACTTTTTTTCTGAAAATCAGTTATTTTTTTACACCATTTATGTAGATTAAAAAAAAAGAAAAAATATGCTTATTTTAACGCTAGAATAAAACAAAAAAAACTAAATTGTTAATAATAATCTTGCTAAACATATAATGATGAAAAAAAAATATTTTTTTGAAAAATAAATAAAAAAACTAACCTTTAATTCTTCCATAGCGCACTAAAGTCATATTAACGAAACTACTGACAATCATAATTGTTAGAAGAACGGTGATAATGTACCGAACGTTGGATAGAGAAGGAAAGAAGCAGAGAATAAAGAGGGATATAGACAAGAGAAGTCGCGTTGCAGAGCTTGTTTGTACACATCGGATTGATCTATTGACAGTAATCTAAAAAGAAAATAAATAAATAAATAAATCTTTTTTTTGTTTACACTTTTTTAATTGTACGTAAATATTTGACATTTTGAATAGAACTTTGAAAGATTTATCCGAAAAGATACATTTTTGATAAAAAAAATTTGAAAGAAGTTTAATCTTTTATTTTTTACTCCCAACTTTTTATGTTCACAGGAGTGAGAATCAAAATAAAATTTGATTTTTTTTGGTTATTTAAAAGGTCAAATACACGTGACAATTCAAAAAAGGTTATGAACAAAAGATATTTTATTTAAAATATAATTTTCATAATAAGCAAATTGAATCAGGTTGTTTATATTATGTTTTGGAATTTTGAATTTCCCATAGAAACTTTTTACTTAATCTTTTATTATAAAAAGTAACGCACATCATAATCGTGATTTAAATACAAACATCCAAATATCGTTAACTAACAATTTATAATACAGTAAATTGGATTTTTATATGCGCATTTTTTATTATATAAGGCATTTCTTAACAATAAAATAAAATATATGTATATTACTTTATTGTTCCTCCACGAATCAAAAGAGTACGATGCGAGCAAACTTCCAATGAAAAATGGTATCCAATACAAAGGTATTACCATCCAATTTTCAGATAAATATCTAAAAAAGGAGAAAATGTTGAAAAAAATAATCAAGTAAATAGTTATTTAATAATAGGAAGTCACATTTTAATCCTTTTACATAAAAAGGTGAACTTTGTTTTTTTTTAATTTAAATGCAACCATCTTGAATTATAAAAGAATTAATAAAAAAATTAATCTAAGCAGTCAGGTCTTCTATTATCTATACTACTGTATTATCTATAAACTGTAGAGGTCGAATGTCTGTACATAGAAAAAATATGCTGAAAACCGAGTCAGGGGATGTAAGAAGAGAAATAGAACAAATCTAGTTTTTTTTTGTTTCTCTGTCTGTTTGTCTGTTTATCTGTTTTTACGGGCTAATCTCCGAATCTACTGGACCGATTTAAATTAAATTTTGCATGGTGTTGTTACCTTATATCCCTGGGCAACATCTTAGATACTTTTCATGCCGGAAAATTAAAGAGTTCCCGTGGGATAGTTAAAAAACTATAATTACTTATACAGCTTAGTACACAACAACTTATGCACCTAATTTAGTTAAATTTGGCATGCTGATACTTTATATTGCCGGTCCAATAACAAGTTACTTTCCATCCCGGAAAAATGAACGATTCCCGTGTAATAGATCTGTTTGTGCTTTTATAATAATTCTGCTGTTGTAAATAATTCTTTTATTTGTTGTTTTTTACCGTTTTCCAAATTACGTTTAAACATAATAACTTGTATATATTTTTGTAATCTATTTATAACCCTTTATTTTGATACCCCACTCGATAAGTTATGGGAAAAAATTTTAGAAGACATAATATGGTTCGAAAATCGGCCATTTTAATTTTTATAATTATGATATACCTAGTTTCACTCACAATTAAGACGAATCTAACGACGCATCTCAAGCTAATACTATACATCCAAAGAAATATATATATTACATACATATATTCGAAAAATATAACTTTCCTTCTGGCGCTTCAAGCTTTACTCATAACAACAAAAAAGTATTTGAACTAGTTAAAAAAAATAGGTAATTTTGAAGAGTTTTTCCTAATAGCCTGTAATTATATTATTTATTTGTAATTATAAATATTTTATTGCATTGTATTTTCAAAAACTTACCTCATTTGAGTAGTTGTGTATATCATAACAACAGTGAAACCACCCACAATTAGAATTCCACTTATCAAACAATAAATTCTTCCCAAAACCGACCATAAAAGTTCACGAACAGTAGATTTTCCTTCAAAAAAGACAAAACAATTTTAATTTTAATATTAAAATATTACAGAAAAAAAAGCAAAAAAATACATTTTTTTTAATTCTTATTTATATAACAATTAAAAAAATATATATATTTAAAGATAAACGTAAATGTTTTTAATGTATAATGGCAACACTTACTTAATCCAAACAGCGACAAATAATAAAAAACACTTGCAAAACCCAAAACAGCCACCACAGAGTCTATAAACAAAGCGGTTTTATGTGAATATGTGAATAGAAACAATCCTATATAATCGTAGTATACTACTGTCGATTTTGTTTCCTAGAAAAAAATTAAAACAAATTTAATTTATCATTATTTACTGTTAATATTAATTACTTAATAAAAAAAAGTTAATATTAAATATGCACAAAAAAACCGAAAAGTTTAATTCTTCTATAAATTTAAGTATTATTATATGTGTTGTAATATTTAAATTTTTAATGAATTATTTCACTAATTCAACTTGTGTTTGATAATTGATGATACTTCTAAGTGACGTCATTATCGCTATATTTCAAAAAATGTCGTTTCAACAACCTATTTAAATTACACTCTTGAAATTGCTATTTTCGAGCAAAATAAGTATATATTAAAAGGATTAAAAATAATTAATTTATGTGAATAAAATAAACACTAAATAATTTGGTTTAGTTTCCAGAAACTAATTAGATAGTTCACATCAATTTGAAATTCATAATATATTAATTACTAGGCTCGCTCCGTTCGGGTTCGCCTCTAGATAAACCAAAAAGAAATCTATCCCACGGTAACCGTATATTTTTCCGTGATAAAAAGTAGCCTATGTGTTATTCCAGACTATAATCTATCTCTGTGCCAAATTTCATCCAGATCCGTTCAGGCATTCTGGCGTGAAAGAGTAACAAACATCCATACATACTTACAAACTTTCACATTTATAATATTTATACAGATAAAATTGATACATACTTTAATTTTCAACTCTTCACTATCGGCCGCCTCTTTAATGACATTCAAAAGCATATTTCCCGCGTTTTGAATGACGCCACTTTCTATTAATTCCGGTCTATCATTCCGAGTGTGATAAACGTTGCCGCCTTTAACAAATGCTATATCTATACCTGTTGAATAATAATTTTATTTTGTTAGTTTATTGTACAATGATTATAAACTAAAAATTTTAAAAATCCCCTACGCAAATTAATTGTCATTTAACGATTACACTGGCACGCGTGAAGCGCTTAATCGAGTAATCATACGCCAAAATGTCTTACATCATTTTGGAAAAGAGCTGATACTCTTACACTGCTGGACCGATATTAACCAAACATAGCTAAGAACCACCGCATGATAACTGGCTTTCAAATGAAAAAAGCCGCATCGAAATAGAGAGCTACAATGCCACAGGCAGACAGACATCGACGTCAAACTTATAACACCTTTCTTTTTGCGTCGGGGGTTAAAAAATAGGGGTTTTTTACACAAATATTAAAATGACTAATAATTAATCTATACTAATACTAGAAAAACACTAATAGAGATCCATTAGTTCCCACGGGAACCGTTCATTTTTCCGGGATGAAAAGTAACCTGTTGTTTGACCGTCAATATAAGGTATCAGAATGCTAAATTAGGTGCATAAGTTGTTGTGTACTAAGCTGTATAGGATACTATAGTTTTTCAACTATCCCCCCGGAACTATTTAATTTTCCGGGATAAAAAGTATCTTAGATGTTGCCCGGGGATATAAGGTACCACCATGCAAAATTTCATTTAAACCGGTCCAATAGATTCGGATATTAGCCCGTACAAACAGACAAACACACAGAGAAACAAAAAATTAGAAAAAAATCTGGATTTGTACTATTTGTCTTCTTACATCCCCGTGACTCGGTTTTTAGCATTCTTTTGCTATGTAAGACATTCGACTTCTACTGTTTTATTATAGTATAGATTATAAAAAGGTAAAGTTTGTGAGGTTGTGAATTCGTGAGTTTGTGACGTTGTAGGGGGTAATCTCTGGATCTAATGAACCAATTTAGATGAAATTTGGTAAGAAGATACTTTGAGACCCTGGGAAGGACATAGAATACTTTTATCCCGGAAATCATCCCTTAAGGAGGTGAAAATGGGGATGAAAGTTAGTATTTGGAATTAAGTAAGGGACGAAGTGAGTACTCGAGCTACTCGCTAGTAAATTATACAGTAAAATGTATTAATTATTCAATAAAGATATTACTTAAATCTATATAATTACTCAAAATATTATGTAATATAAAATAAAAAATAAAAATAAAAGTTATGTAATATAACTTACACTTAAATATAAACATTAAACACTTAAATTTGGATATACAAGAAAAATAAAAAACAATGTCCAACAATATAAAAAAAATATTACCTTGTATATTACCAAAATCTCTAAATATCCTAAAATCAGTATCAGACGGTATTATACCAGATGCAAATAGCACTTCACCTAAGCCTTGAGCGTTAGGTTTTCCAGTAGTTTTTCTATAAACTTCTAAAACTCTTGGATCTGTTACCTAAAAATTAAAAAAAATATCTATATACATGTCGTCGCCTGAGTGTTTTTTTGTTCAAACAACCAATTTACCGAAAGAGTTTTTAATGTAGAATTATTAACTTTTAAATGTCAACTCTATTGGCATTATATACACATTTCACTTTAATAAAGCTGAATATAAAAATGTACTTGGCCTGAATATGTATGTAAATGTTAGAAATAAAGTTTTTTTAAATAGAGGAAAACCCCATCTACTGTAAAATAAGACCAATACGGTCGTTTGAACAAAAATCATTAAGGCGATATATAAAAACTCAATTTAAATAAAAAAAAAAACTATTATTGTATATTGTATAATATAATATTAATATACAAGAAAATCTCTTGGATATTTTATCTAAAAGTCAAAAATTATATACATACCTATATGAAAATAAATTACATTTAAATAAATTAAAAAAACACACACAAAAATTATTATTCTATATAATTAGCATATAAAACATGAAAGCTGTAAAATTAAAAAAAAATGTATTACTTGAAAAACACTGGGTTTCCCATTCATTCCGGCTGAGTCCAAATTGATAACATTCGTCACACCTTTAGCCCATTGATGTTTAAGAAAACCGTGGCTTGCCTAAAACAGATATTAATATTTTGTTTCAACTTTTTGACTCTGATTTTGATTTACTTTTTATCTATACAAATAAATAAATTGAAGTGTCTGTTCTTTTTTACTAAATGCATAAGAAAGTATATACGGTACTTATAAGAAACAGTTTTTATAATTGTTGTCTGTCTGTTTGTTCTAATCTCTAAGCAGTAAGCTTTAATCTTATCGACTAAGGTTAGGAGAGTAAGTAAATAATTCAGCTGTATGTTATTTTCTGATGATATAAAAAAGGTAATTAATATGATTTACCAATAATGCACTTTCTTCTGCGCCATTGAATATAAAAATGACGTTATGTTTAAATTTTTTCTTCCTACGAGATAACTTTGCTAGTATTTCTGCCATTGCAGAACAGAACACACCATTATCTGAAGCACCTATAAGCGAGAAAAATATGAATAGAACGAAAAAGGACAGAGTTATTGTTAGACTTGCCATCTCTTTCTATCAAAAAATAACATCACAATATAAATCAGAGAAAAGAATGATTTGTCTTTGTATTTTTAATAAAAACATTAAATTCACAAATATAAGATTAAAATATTAAATATGGCACATTTTTTTTAAATTAATAGTTTTTTTTAACAAAAAATACACTCACCAATTGCAAAAGGCACGGAATCATAATGACAGTTGACCAATAGAGAGGTGTTAGTTGTACCGTCGGGATTGAACCCACTATCCCCCTCTAGCACTGCGATTATGTTCGACAAGTTTTGGTAGGCATTAACGTGTGGCGTTGTAAATGCTAACCAGTAGTCACCTGGAAATGTTTAATTTTTTTTTATGACCTATACATATAATAAAATTCTAACTAAGCCAAATCTACACATTATTTTTTTGGAAAATCTGATTCAAATAGACTTTATTATCGATACAGAGGCTGAAAAAGCTTTTAGATTTTTTGTCTGTCTGTCTGTGACCGCATCACGAAAAAACCACTGGACAGATTTTGATGAAATTTGGTATGATGATAGCTGGTTATCCGGGTCAACATATTAGGATACTTTTTACTGCTCGCGAAGGAGTAACAAACATCCAAACTGTTGTATTTATTATAGTAGCTCGATTAGATATACCCACGACTTTGCTCGCAAATGTGTTTTTTTCTTCTCGTAAAGGTTCAATATTTCTTTGTAAACATCTAAAAATATTCATAGCATCCATATTATTAATCGGAGGATATAAGATAAATTAGCATTTTCCCGCGGCTTAGCACGCATAGTTAAATTATGTATACCCTATGTATATCCCTCTCCCCTTAAAAATTATAGTCTATATTTTTCTCTGATGTATTTATTACTGTAAAGTTTCATCAAAATCCGTTCAGTAGTCTTTGCATAACAAACATTCATACATCCTCACAAACCTTCGCATTTATAATATAATAAATGGCAACTTCAAACAAATAAATCATTCAATAAACTCACCATCAACAAATTGCCAGTCAGTTTTAACTGGCAAGTTTGCAGAACTTGCAATTTTATCCACTAAATCCTTTATATCCTTTGTTTTTTCTAAATGGTATGCTGTTCCAGCTACTCTTGGTTTATCCCCTAGTATGTTATGAAGATACATTCTAGCATTTTGTTCACTAAATGTGTTTGAATTCTAAAAAATAAATGATAAAAACAAAATATTCAAAATTTCATTAGCAACCGGCAAAACAGCCGGGCGCGAATCCAAAAAACGCACTGGGAGGCGGCCCACATCGGTGGGCCATGTATCATACGGGTTGCTCCTGGTACTTCACTGATAGCAAAGTAGACTGTTGGAGCAACCTCATGGTTGTTGTGGCCTGCTTCGGCAGACCTGCCGTCGAGGCGTCGTGGTTGAGTGCGTAAGCGGTCCTGCGACGCCTCATTAAGACAAGGGAGATTCTGTAGGGTTTTAGGGGGTAGTACTAGCTTTTCTAGCCGATGTGTCCTACATGACCACCTGTATGTATGCAGGGATTATGCGTAAATGCATTTCTCAACACACTACAATAATAAGTCATTTTATAAGAGGCTAAGCCATATATAAAAACATTAAGTTAACTTACATCTGCTGCAATATCTTTTTCTTGAATAACATTTGGAAGATCACCTTCTATTACTTTAGTTAGAAAAGCTACCAAAAGGTAGAAGACTAATAACAAAATCAAATATGGGCTAGGCACCTGAAAATTATGATTAATATTTTTTTTTATAAACTCTTAAAAAAAACTAGGTGAAATGAAAACATGCATAGGTACCAGTTTTAGTACACCATGTTCTTAATATTCAATTATAGAGTAAATTAAATGGAATAAAGCCACGTGATGCACTAGGGCAGTGGTTCCCAATTTTTTTGCCACGGAACCCTATAAAAATATAACCAACTATTTAATGTGATGAATAATTTTTTTTACGTACATATTTATTTATAATAGTACTAAAACTAAGTTTCATGTGTGACAACGTTTTATTTAACTCCCGGACAGAACCATGAACCTCTGTGACCCTTCCATGGAAGCCTAGGGTTCCTCGGACCACCATTTGGGAACTACTGCACTAGGTTATTACTATGTCAAATTTTTATTGCAAAAACAAAATAAAGTCATAAAAAATAATATAATATTAATACATTAAATGAGAATGGTATAAAAAATTAGTTTACATACTACATCAATATTTTATAAGTGAAACATAAATGTTAGCATTACAAAATTAAACAGATATTAACCCTTTGTGAAGATTTTTCATCATGATCATTAATCCCAATAGTAGGTAACCCTGAATATGTTTGTTTGTTTCTCTGCAAATATATGAAACTGTAATTAGATATAACAGGAATTTCTTATTGAACTACCTACTATGCAAATGCTAAAGTTTATAATGTGTGTGTGTGCGGGTGCGTGTGCGTGTGCGTTCGCGGGTGCGGGTGCGCGTGCGTGTGCGTGTGCGTGTGCGCGTGCGTGTGTGTGTCTGATTTTTACTCCTTAAAGCTGTAACACCTGGACAGATCAGAGTGAAGTTTACTACAAATAAAAATATACTTTATTAAAATAGAGTAGACTATTAAACATACTTTTGAATGGTCAATTGTACATTCTTAAATTCAATTTAAATGTCAGTGTAGTCAGTACAATGTATAACCGAATGGTATCCCCGAGGTAGCAAAAGACGAAGAGGAAGACAACACAAAAAGTGGGAACATGATCTTGCACAAGATAGAGAAGATTAGTAAGGATACTCACAAATTTGTTAAGTTGGAAGAGGCCTATGTCCAAGACAACCTGACATTATAGCTGCCAATGTTAATTTCTTTATACATACAATAGAAATCAGAACATGTTACATTAAAGATTTAGAATTAAAGGCTATTTTTATTTTATTTATTTATGTATTAGTTGGTCCGTGAGGAATCTACTACTAGCTTGGAAGGTTCTAGTTCAGGCACAGACTATAATTTGAAGTAACACATGGGCACTGTTAGGTAATTGGGGATGCACCCAAAAGAAGCAAAGGTAGCAAAGGTAACTCAGTAGTAATTTATTTATTTAAACTAAAATCGACAGCTACATATAGAAATAGAAAGTACATAAGAAAAAAAAAGTTCTTATATAAGCCAATTATGGATTTTCATTATTAATGCAATGCACGCGTGCGTGCGTGCGTGCGTGCGTACTATGTATTACTTAAATTAGCTATATTGTTTTGTAATGTATTATTATGTATTTAACACAAAATAGTACAAAACATAAGATATTGTATTTTGTGATCCATGTTAGTTTTAAGTATTCTGAATCTTTTCTGAAAATAAATTAATTAAGTTTAATCTCAGTGTATATATTAATAAAATGTTTATTTAAAACTTAACCCAAAGTGTTTACAGGAAAATACAGATATGTAACTACATACATCATTTATTACACACCTTTATAATATGTAGGAAAACTTATTACTGTACAAGCTACCTAAAGCTAAATTATAATATAAATGTTGTAGGAAAACTTTATCATTTTAAGGAAATATTGAATACATTTATTATTGTCAGGATATAAATAAATACTGTTGTTGAGGAATATGTGAACTTAAATAATTTTTGTAAAAGATAAAGATTAAATTTTAAAACTAATTTATGTTCAGAAATAGATGCCTTATAATTATGAACCATCATAGTTATGATGTATTAACCTTATAACTTTTTTAGTTTTTACTATAAAAATAAAACACATGGCAGCCTTACAACTAAGTAAGCAATCTATTCCAGGTAATAAAATCAAAATATACTTTATTCAAATAGACGTTTACAACCACTTTTGAATGGTTAATTTTACATTTTCAAAATTTAAATTAAATGTTAGTATGTATGTCGATGAAGACTTTACCACCATCCTGGTAAACTTAGAAGATAGACGAAAGTGAATGGAAAGGGGTGCACTCACTTTCAAAATACCCAATAATAAGTACATATTTAAAATACATATTATTAATATTTTTAAGCGCTTAAAAGTTTTATTATATTATATTCTGCTTGTATGCCACATGAAATGTGTTATTTAGAAAGATGATATTTATATAGCAAAATCAGACTTCTATTATAAATGAAAATTTTTATGTGTATATGTTTGTTCATGCTGAAATGGCTGATAAATTTGGATGAAAGTTATTACATATTATATAAGACTGTGACCTGGAATAACTCATAGGCTACTGATAGACACCCAGAGTAGAAACACCACCATAAGCAAAGGTAAGTCATTAGTAAGCACATATAATATATATGTTGAATAAATTATTATTATACTTACAGATGCCATTACAAAGTCATCTATTTATCCGGTTAACTAAACATAATAATATTATCCTTGAGTTCACTTAATAATAAGCAATTAAATATTCTACGGCATATAAATAATGTTTTTATACTTTAATAATATTAATTTTTGATCGTATCTTTTATTCTCAAAGTACTGTCATAAATTTATATTAATCTTTTAATATTATCTAAATTCTGAGATAACTAGAGTAAGCAAAAATACTTTTATAGTCGAATCAAAATTCAAAATCCGGCTAAGATATAAACTTGTAAACATGTAGTAATGTAGTATATAGATATACTGATATAATTTATGCATGTAAATAACAATCTATTTAAAGTCATCCATCAAATTTCAAAGAACGTATCGAGCCCAGTATATATCTATACTCTTTGGTATCGAGACTGCTTACTTATCAGTCAAATTGACATATGACTTGGTCACAGATTAAGAAGACTAAGAAAAGAACATAGAGTATATTGCTCCATATATAAAGAAAAGAACATGGTTAAACCAAGTCACTAAGTATAGAGATACAAAGATCTTTTGGCACGTGGCCGAAATCAGAATTAACACCGCCGTCGTGTAAAGCGTCACCATAGAGTATATTGCTACATAAGCGTCACTTTTGACAGACACATGGAATAGACGTTTGTTGTAAATATTTAAAATAAAAATATCTCTAAATATGCCAAAATTGATAAAAGGTGGTGTTAAAGAGGTGGTGCTAAAAGTAAAGGATGTCTTTATGAAAGAAAAGCAATATAGCGCTCCGTTTATTCCATTTGAAAGAGTAAATGAACGCGTTGCAGGCCGCAGTTGCATTTGACATGCAAGTTGCAACCAGCAACACCCCTTAAACACCGAGCCCGCGCGTCATTTTCCCCCGATACAACCAATACATAAAAAAATACTCATAATTCAAATTATATAGCACCGATTTAAAATGTTTTTGCTGTTTTGGGTTTTTAAATAATCTGAGCATTTATGACAATATGTAAAATACACTTTCAACTATTGATGAATTATAAATAAGCTAACAATATATGAGTGTTAGCTGAATATTTACTAGTTGTTGTATTATATTGATTTCTGACAATACCACGGTCTATATTTACACTAAATTTGAAACACTATTTTATAAATAAACATGTAATCGCACAATACCATTCTTTGATTTATTTATATTAGTTGTTAGTTATGATCAAATTCAAAACTTTATAGCACTCGCGGCTCGTTTGTTGTATTTGCGCAGTTCATTCGCGCAATTTTCAAAACAAACATCCGAGTTATAATGTGTGAATTCTTAATAAAAATAATACTAAAATACAGAATAGTCCTTACTTTAAAAACGTGCAGCAATAAATCTTGAAAATAAGTCATTGTAATTAAAATTCGAATAGATTTCTTTAAAGAGAGAAAAATTGAGGTTAGTTTTTACAGACGCTCGTGTTGCATTGTAATTAACGTTTCTGTATATAAATTTAGCTTAAATTATAAAAGATAAGCTAAGCATTATCACATATATGAAACTTAACACTTTTCGTTCAAGGAACTAAACATTTAAACCTGTGAAGTTGACTAAAATAATTTACTCTAATAATATTTAGATGCGTAGTGATGGACCCATGTACCCCACAACACTAAAAAGTATCGATTATTTTTGTGAACGGCTAAACACACATAAATACAATTACAATTTTTATATTTGTTTATAACAATAAAAAAGTAAGTATTTAAAAAATCAAAATAGGTGCAATAAAATAATGTAATTTTTGAACAAATTATATTCAAAATCATTGAATAAACTGCCATTTTTATAAAAATATGACATAAATAGACTTATTATTATAAAAAATCTAATAAATGCGAGTTAAAAGTATATAAAAAGAGAAATATATTTCAATTTAAATATTTATACCTTTTATATGGTGTTATTTTTTACTAGTTTCATGTAGTTTTATATACCCCTATCTTTTTATTTTTAAAATATTAATTTTAGAATGAGAAATTTAATAATATAGCTCTTAGAGTTTTAGTTTCTTCTAGTGTTGAACAATGTGAAAAGCACTATAAGTACAATATTTGAAACCTCTCAAATGGTAGACACACTTACCTAAACTATTATTACTGACTATTTCCCAGTAGAACAACTCAATAATGTACACTACTTCGATAGGTTTTTACACTTCTATTAGTCCGTCAAGACAGTCAAGGAACGCTTATTTTATTTCAGACTAGCGACTCACCCTCGCTTCGCTCAGGCGTGGAATAGATATAACTTGATTTCCCATAGAAACGAGATAATCTCCCATGGTAAAAAGTAGCCTATTTCACTCTCCAGCCCTCTAACTACCTTGACACAAAAACCATGACAATCTGGCATTTTATTTTATTATTTCATTTAGGTACATTATATTTATATTTTGAAAGAAGGACAAACAAAAAAATAAATTCAACGTCAAATTGTATATCGTAGAAAGAGAGAATGCCCAATATACAAATGCATTAGAGTAGCTTACATTAATTTTAAGGTTACGTTCATTATTGTAATGTAGTAGGAAGGAAAAAGAAAAATGTGAGTTTTACGTTTTTCCGTGTTTTTTTTTTCTAATTTTTCTCTTCATAAGAACCTTCCCCGACCAATATTTGAAAAAAAAACAATTAGGCGAATTAGTGCACCCGTTATTGAGTTTTGAGCTTAGCAACATTTTGCCATTCATTTTTATTTATATACATATAGACGAGCGTCTTTGTATTCTTATTATATTGTCGTATATTATGTTTGACTTTGTATTTAGGCTGTTAAATATACCTATCATATTTTATAAAACATATGAGTATTTTTTTGCATTTTATTCTCTACTGTGTCTAACAAAAAGTAAAAAAACAATCTTACTTTTTCAACATATATTTATATTAAAATATCGATAATACCGATAGCACATACCGACACGTGTCAATGTCTAACTGGTCTTTGATGAGAGTTCAAATATGTCAAATTTGACAGCTGATAGGTATTATTAGTAAATAAACATAATTTATATTATAAAACAATTGAAATATGCTACAAACAACTGAAAATATGCAATTATATTAATTTTTTTTTAGTGATTTACCTTTATCGGGCATCAAACCAGAGAGTAATCGTCAAAATTCATGTTATATATGGCGACTTATTTTACGAAATTTATACATCAAAATTTGTTGGTCCAAGAAACTAATTTTATAACGTGATTGTATACTTCTTAGTATCTCAGTAGTGGCAAAGAATACTAACAATGAATATTCATACGTTTACGGCACAAGTTCACTAGAGCTTAAAGATTTTAAATTACACAAAAACCATACCGAGTCGCACAGTCTTCGCTTGAAATTTAAACAATTTTTGACGCGTTTATTTTTAAAGTTGTCGGCATTTAATTATTATTAATTTTTTTTATATACTTCATAAAACTTCTAAAGTTTGTGTGTATCACTCATTTAGTATAAAATACACTGATTTCGTCTTGTATTATGTGATAAAAGTGCAACGGGCGAGGTGGTGCCTATAGGCACCAGCGAGGTTCAAGTGGTTAAGTGTTATCATACCTCGTAAGTGTGCCCGTTATTACCACGAATACTATAAATTCATATCTTATATCCTTGTGAACATATTTTCGCCTTCAAATTGTAAAAGAAAATACGATTTCAGGTATATCTTTACGAGGAGTTGCAAGAATTGAAAATAATTATAGCAAAAAATAATATTTTATTTATTTATATTAAATAATTTAATTTTATTCATACTTTAATTTTATTTTCATGTAATAAATTCTATCATCCAAACATTTCCTAAGCTTAAATTGAATTACGGAATATAGAGATAGAGTTTAAATAATTCCCTAAAACTATGTAGATTTTGTTAGCTTGTAACCCTAATTTCCCACCAACGCCCTCATGTCAATGTCATATAAGTGCCAAAAGATCCTTGTAACTGGACTGGAACCATGGATGACAAATAAAAACTGGAACCAACCTACAAAATGTCACTTTAGTGATAACTTTTTAAAACAAATTCGTATGAAAATGTATAGGTAACTTATTTTAAAATAATAACTCTCCAAGCTGGTGTGAAACATGTTTAGATTTAGTATTTTTTAATAAAGAATTTGTTGATTCTTTTCGCAAAAAGTTAATGTGGTGGCTTTAGTTACATGTTGCAATCATCTCAATAAAATGTATAGTTTTAGGTTCGTAAATATATTAATATTTTTAGTCCTACTATTCATTTAATAAGGTACAAACACCACAACAACATTATAAAAATTGGACAAGTTAATTTGATTTGGTTTTGGAATATTGAAATAGTCATTATTATATGTATAGTTTTTAGAATTTTTGTCTGTCTGTCTGGGAACGCATCACGAGAAAACTACTAGACATATTTTGATGTAATTTGGTATAATGTAGCTAGTTATCCGGGTCAACATATAGAATATATTTTTCTGCGCAAAATATCTCATCTCTGAGAAATCTATACTAAGCGTTAAAACGTAAGGAACGATCCCTAGCGGAGCGAGGGTGAGTCGCTAGTATCATATATAAATTGTTTAATGTAATAATTTTTTTTGTGCTATTCTGCGATCAGTCCCAAACTATATGCAGATTTGTTCCCTGTCATCCTTATCGTGCCCAAGGAGCTCCCCAGCAGGAGACACCTCATCCTTCACCATCTATCACCAAGTTTCTGTATGTCATGGCGTTTCAGTCGTTTAGTGTAGCTGATATTTGCTAGTGCGGTAGCTAGGTCATTTGGGTGGTTTTCCAGCCGTGTTTTATATTTATTCCCTGTTAGTTTTAACTCCTCCTTAACAGTTCTTATGCTCAGAGCTTCATGGATCTCTGTGTTAGTGATGAACCATGGTGCATTTGAAATGGTTCTTAAGATGCCATTTTGCAGCCTTTGTATTATGTTTAGATTGGAGTCGCAAGCACTTCCCCACAGCTGTGCGCCATACATCCATATTGGTTTTAGGATCGTTTTGTATATCAGCAGTTTGTTATCGATTGACAGTTTGGAGTTACGTGCCATCAGCCGATGTAATAAATTGATGAGTTTAATTTAATGTTTATTTTCACCTTTTTAGAGCATTGAAATAAAAGCTTGTTTTTAAAAACGTTTCTTACTATTCATTATTTTTTTATTTTATTCGTATGTATCTCAATTCTCAGCAAACTCTTTAATTTTTCCATATCACAAAAAAAACATAGTCAAATATCTTTGGAGTCCACCAAAATACCACATATATGTATTGGATTTAGAATTACGTCACTTAGCTAACCATGCATTGCCATCCAAAGCCAAACTAGCGTGTCTGCAAAATTTCAGCTCAATCGATTGAGGATAACTGCTTTAAAATTCAATTGCAAGATTTGACCCGAACAAACATTGCAAGTTAAATAAAAGCTTGTAAAATTAAGCGGTTTAAAAATGTGTTTTTATTTTCTGAAATTCGTTGTCGTGCGCCAATAGAGGGCCTTGCGAAATATAAGTACTTTGCCCACATTAAATGTAGCTCTTGGCCCGCCACTACGTGTGGCTTAGTGCAGACTGCAATGTTGCAATAATAACCAGCTGTAACTCTAAGGGACAACACACAGGTAGGTGGCCCACTCGGTAGGTGGTGTACCATGTGGGTACTTGGTACTTCTCTAACAGCAGAGTGGACCGTGGGAGCAACCCCTTGGTTATGTTGCCCCATTAAGTTTCTGATGAGTTTTAGTGGATACTTGGTATTACTGGCTTCTCTAGCCGGTGAGTTCCACATAACCACCTGTTTGTATGCAGGTAGTATGCATAAATGTATTTCCCAACCAAAAAAGGATCATTATATTTTAAAACTGTAAAATGCTTCGTTAAAATCAGCCGAAAATTAGACAAAACTCGATGATAATTAATTTTCTTGGCATAAATTATAGCAAAGGACCAATAATAGACGATAAAATTTAGGTACTCAATGTTTTATTATTATTATGCTCACAATCTAAGAAGTGTATAGTTTTACCTACAGAATAAATTAATCATCTGGTAATCTATCAAAGATAAGTATAACATCACCCTTTGTTTTATATTCAAAAAAATATAAAAAGTTAAAAATTGTATCGTTTATTAAAAAAACCTTATATTCTTTTTAATAATAAAAATGAAATCTCATTGGGTATCATTTATTATACTGTTTTAAAATTATTGTTAATGAATATTAAAAGGGTTTTGGTTTTGTGCATTAGCAATAAGTCCTTAGTCTATCTAAAAATATACTTATTGATTAGCTTGCAGGTAAGTATATGGTTATGTCTAAGTTTATACATTTTATTTACACAAAGTTATATACAAAACTAACAGATCTTTAAAATAAATGCCTACAATACCTATATCAAGTAATTTAACTAGTGGTAATCACATAAAATCATTAAAGTAAAGAAATCATTTAAATAGGAAAAAATAAGTAACAATTGTTACAAAAAATATTATGTGCCATATAAAGACGCTATACATAACCATATCGGCTCAAATATTACATACTTGTGGGTAAAATACAAAAAAAACTGGCAACACCTTATTCAATATATTACACTTTGCACTGACCCATAACCGTAATCACTTGTCACTTTCCATTTTCAAAGCAAAAATCGTTTAAAAGATTACTTATCTAAACCACTTAGGTGTCTGTTAATTAAAAGTGATTTTATTATTATTTATTAAATTACAATTTCATTCAGGCTTTAATTTAATACTTGATAATAAGTACTTTAAAAATACTTAGCATATTTATCATAAGGCGATATTGAATTAATAAAATCACATATCACTTGTTTTATTTATATGAATTGTTTCTATTAAAAAGGTTTTATTATCTATAGTCTGAAATGTCAATCACTGTTACGGTGGCGGCAAACTGTCACTGGAATTTGACATTTGATGGTAGGTACTTTTAGTGTTTATTTTTCATTCACGTTGAAAGAGTCTTTCCCTGTGCGGAGGGTGTTATAGATGGCACTAGGGAGAGGGGGGAAGACTATCGTCACTCTCGAGGTAAGTAACATAGTTGTCCTCTCCGTGAGGTCTCGGAGGCGGGAGAGAAGGTATGTCGTAGCCGTGCATCTGAAATTTTATACAAATTATAATAAGTATAGGTCACGTTGGCAACGTTTATCAGTTAGTTGTGACAGTAATATTTTATGTTTGTAACTTTCTGGGTGTAAATTAAGTTAAAATAAATTAACTTAAAACATGGCAGCACATTAATCGCCTAAAAACTGTGGTGATATAAGCGTAGAGAGTGATTTATTTTTTGTTAACTTTTAATAATAATTTTGGCGCCATTTTTAAAATTTACCCACTTGCTACCGTGGCGCCACCTTAATTTGACGGTTTCCGACGGACACTTTTTCATACACATATCGTTCTCCTTACCTGTACGGTCTACCCTTCATACTTGTCACTAATTTGTAATACTAATTAGTAATTACTAATGCAATAAGAATTTATAATAGTAAGTCACCAATTTATAATACTCCGATATAACCTACCTGATTGACAAGTTGTTGGAAAGCAGCGCTATGTTGCGGAGCTCGGTCCAAGTCCGCGTGTAAGGCGAAGTCGGACAGGGCTTTCCAAGGCGGCTGGTAAGCGGTCACCTCAAGCGCGAGCGACCCCGCCTCGTGGCGCACCGGCGACCCCGCCACTAGCGGCACACCCATGGACATGTAGCCCAGGCGCCGGCCTTCCTGCACCATACCCTACAGTTGCTTCACGTTGTCGTATTTGTGTATTTGTATGTTTTATGCGTACGTACAAACATATATTGTTACATATGTATGATGTAGAAGTTACAATACATACTCGTACTACTTACTTAAGTAGGTATATTTTGAAGGATGTTTCTTTCTACTCCTTCACGTTGTATTTGTGTGTTTATGTTTTATACGTACGTTCATACATACAAACACACATCCTTATTTTAATTATGATACTTATAAACATTCACGCAAATATGTTGGGTACATATTGTTTGTGTGTGATAGAATAGACAAAAAATTAACATGACGTTCGTATATCTATCGTATAAATAAAAAATATTCTCAAATTTATTTAAACTGTCTCAACTTTGTCAAATAAAAATATAAAGATAATTGAATATAGCAACATTAAGTAAAGATTATCACCTTCTCTTGTTGCATCTGCATCTTTAATTGCATGGTTTTTTTCTTATCCTTGCACCGTTTGTTTTGAAACCACACTCTGATCACTCGCGGGCTGAGGCCAGTCATTTCAACTAGCTGCTCTTTCATTAACGCGTCTGGACGAGGATTAGCCGCGTAACATGTTCTGGAAAGATGATATTCAAAAAAAATAGTATTAATACAGTTGAACATGTTCGAAATTCACGTTAGGTATAACTTTTGTGAATGAAGTTTTTATGAAATTTCGGAAATATTTCAAAAAGTGTACCTACGGACAAAACTAAGCGGGTTTACAATTTCATGTAAAAAAACTTTGGTGAAACTTAAATAAGTTCCATTCGGTTTCAAAACGTCAAATTATATCAATACAGATAAAAAATATAGTTAATTATTGAAAAAAAAGAAGATTTTTACAAATTATTGAATTTATGTCATAAATCCTCAATTAAAGTCCCAAATCCCAAATTTTATCTTGCTGCAATACTTATAATAAACTAGCAGAAGTATAACGTTGTACAAACCTCTATATAGAATATACCTAGTACATAATTAATTTATAATTTTTAACATACCTATCTATAGAATTGCATACATTCCGCCTTTTGCATTTCTCAGAAAAATAAAAGCAGTTCAATATTTTTTTTAATACTCTTTTTCTTCGAAATAATGATCTAACTTAGGCCCTTGTTTTTATTTTGATTTCATCGAATAAGTTCATTACCTACAAATACTAGGTGATTGTATTTTCTTATCTTTTAATTCGTCACATGACGTCAATCATGATTACGGGATTGATTGAGGTAAAACGTTTGAGATGTCAGGAAACAAAAATCATAATAAATCCGCGAAAAAATCCAATAACATAGGTTTATAAGCTTACCTAAGCGTATGTAACTGCTTTTCGTTTAGGACAGTCCGAACTCTAGTAGGTTTTCCGTCGGCGGCGGCGCCGGGGCGAGCTCGACCGCTCTTGTGTGAACCGGATTCACTGCCAGAATCTGAAATAAAAATATTTTACATATATATTATACATTACACTATTGTATTTCTATTATAATGTATGTTTGTTACTCCACATATCATATATCTGTTTCTTTCAAATTTGTCTTGCTAAAGCAATTTGGTTCGCCCTCTCTTTGCTCAGGTAACGTTTTGTAAGTCACTATAATCCTAATTTAACTATGTATTTTAAATAAAACTATGTTTTCGGATTACTTCGCGGATTTATTTTAATTTTTGGTTGCCGATTTTCGAATGCTTTACAGCAATTATGGTCACGAGAGACAGTTACAGTCAGTTACAGACAGTAAGGTTTATGACATTATTTAAAATGTCAAATATTCGCGTAAATCTAACAAAGTAAATATTAACTACGTATTATTATAAATATGCATTTTCCTTCACGCTGAAACGACTGGACGGATTTGGATTAAATTTCGTAAACACTACACACAAATACATTATGTTCTAGACTCTAGAAACTCTAGAATCTAGAGTGACACATAGGCAAAGTACCTAAGCAAAGCCAGGGTAAGTTGCTAGTATATTTGTACATAGTTGGGTCTTCGCTTAAGCCTTAATCGCACCTTTTGGATATTGCTTTTTCATTTAGGCACAAGTTTAGTATATGGGTCGCGGCCCCTGGAGAAGTGAGTGGTATTTTTGGATAGGGGAGGTGATAGGGAGTTCAAATATATAAAAATTATTTTGAGGAACGAAGGAGTCAAAAGTTGTTGAGTCTTAAAGTTAGAACATTTCCATACATTTCTATACCTAAATAAGCCATTACAAAAGATAAACACACCTTTAACGAATAATAAACATCCTTTTTCATGTAAAATCCATATTTTCATAATAATTAAGGCTTTATTGTATAAATTTTTCGATAATTTCATTAAAAACAATAACCTAAACAAAATAATCTTAAATTTTGAGTAATAACATAACAGATTATCGTTAATAATTTAGTTAAGAGTTATGCATATCAAAAGTGAAAATTGTCGTCAGATTACTAAGATTCTAAAATAGAAATAGATATGTTATTTTCAATTCATACATACATTTACGAATTTTTGTTTGATTTATGTAAAATATTGAGTTATAGTATAATTAATTTACATTTAGCAATTTTTTTTGATTTTATTACCTATGAATACTTTTCAGTATTTTGGGAGGGTAGTCACAAAATACCGCGAAGTTCCATAGTGTGACTACGATCTGTACTTATTAAACGCGTTTAAGTTTTCATATTTTTTGCTCTTTTTCATAGTAATTTTTTTCATATTATTTTCCAGTAGTTATTAGTTTTTGTTAATTTTCGAATACGTTCGTTTTTAGACTTTTGTTTTAATAGTATTACTATAGTTTTAAAAATGTTCTTAGTGTTTTAAGTGTACTCATGCAGTTTATAAACGTATGTAGACTATTTTTTTTATCTAAGTGTATTATTTATTTTCGATTAAGCAGTCCGACTTGGATAACTTAGGTTGAGAAGGCTCCCCCCCAACGTGCGTTCACCTTGTCGTGGTGGGGGGGCTCAGTAGTGCCCGGCAATCTAACCGGGCGCGAAGCCAAGAAACGCACAGGGAGGTGGCCCACTTCGGTGGGCGGTGGGAGGTGGCCCTCATCGGTGGGCGGTGTACCATGCGGGTTGCTCCTGGTACTTCTCTGATAGCAGAGTGGACCTTGGAGCAACCCCATGGTTGTGGTGGTCTGCTTCGGCAGAACTGCCGTCGGGGCGTCGTAGTTGAATGCGTAAGCGATCCTGTGACGCCCCATTAAGACGGGGGAAGGTTTTGTTGGGTTTTAATGGGTAATACTGGCTTTATTACGCCGGTGAGTCCAACACCTCGTGCGTAAATGCATTTCCCAACGTTAAAAAAAAAGGTTGAGAAGGCTAAGGCGGGAGTAAAGCGTAGCGTAGCCCCCGCCTTAGCCTCCTCTGCTTCGAAGCACTCTGTTTCGAATTGGAAGAAGGATAAACAAACAAACACGTTTTCGCATTTATATTATTTTATTTATTTATAATAGTATAAAAGATATTATATACAAAAATAAGTACCTATTTTATTTATAAGTTTAGTTTTTTTCAAAAAGCTTATGGTAAAAAATTCTAAATTATATCAGATAAGAGAATGATTAATATAACATTTGGGATCGATATATTAATCAACTACCTGAGATGTAAATGCCAACCGATGTTTGTACAGATAATTTGGAACCAAGATGACATTCGCGTAAATGATGTACGAGGAATGAAATAATACGAGTTTTTTTTTACAAAAAAAGGTATACCGATTTGATTTAAAAGTCACGTACAAGTTATGATTTCATCCTTAGGGCTGATTTTTTTTTATTTATAGGAGACTAGAGATTCACCCTCGCACCGCTCGGGTTCGTCACTGGTTACATCTTAACGTTTAGTACAGATTTCTCAGAGATGCGATATTTTCCCGCAGTAAAAAGTATCCTATATGTTGACCTGGATAACCAGCTATCACCATACCAAATTTTATCAAAATCTGTCCAGTGGTTTTCTCGTAATGCGTTCCCAGACAGACATCCAAAAATTCTAAAAACTATAGATTCGACCTCTGTATCGATAATAATGACGGTATCGATAAGATTTTTCAAAAATATTTAATGTACAAATTCGACCTAGAATAATATATAAAAAATAAAAATAAAAAAGTTGAATAAAAAAATATAAAAGTTGAAAATTACAGTTAAACAGATTTTCTACTTTGTACGGAACCCACGGTGGTCGAGTCCGACTCGCACTTGTATTTTTTTTGTTTAGTAGCTATTTACTAACGAGCTTTAGTGTTATTAATAAAAAATATTATAGTCCAATTTCGACTCCTTGATGAACACTATAGTTGTTAGTAAATATGCTTATTTACGAATAAATATATGACTAACAAGCTATACAAAGTCCATACACAAGTCCCAACAGACAAGGGGTTAAAGCTAATCGCTTGCATCTACATATAATCCTCATTTCACACTTAAACTAATCCCTTACTGGACATCAAAGTCACAGTTTATTTTTTAACTAGTGACCCACCCTCACTCCGCTCGCGTTCATCCCTAGTTACGTTTTGCCGCAGCAAAAATTTGTTTAATGTACAGTTTCGGCTCAGTTAGAATTTTATAATATGTATAGACTAGCATTGCCCGCGGCTCCGCAAGCGTTCAGATAACCAAAAACCAAATTCTGAGGTTTTACATATGAGTATACTCTTACATTGCAGTTCTTGTATTTTTTCTCAGAAATGAGATATTTTCCTGCGGTAAAAAGTATATCCTATAATCTAAATATATTGACCCGGATAACCAGCTATCACCATACCAAATTTCATCAAAATCCCTCCAGTGGTTTCTCTGTGATGCGCTAATAGACAGACAGACAGACAAGACAGACAAAAATTCTAAAAACGGCTTCTGTATCGATTATAATGTTTATATCAATAAGATTTTCAAAAAAATATTTATTGTACAGATTCGGCTTAGTTACAATTTTATTATATGTATAGAGAATGGACGGTTTACTCGCATTATTTTTGACTGAGGTACTTATTGCTAGTATAAATTTAATACTGTGTTAGTTTTTTTTGATAGTCAAAAATATCGGAGTACTAGCATAAATTCGAAAATTTGTTTGTGTGTATATTTGTTACTCTTTCACATTGAAACGGCTGGACAGATTTTGATAAAAGTTAGTACCCAGATAGAAGCATTCAAGCGCAGCGAGGGTAAGTCGCTACTTACTAGCAATATTATAAAAGATAATTTTTAACATTTATGTAATTTGGTTCATTATTGCAGGTACTTCATTCTATGATACACGATACTTTCTTAGATTTACGCGAATATTTGACATTTTAAATAAAACTCTTTTTTCGGGTTATTAGAAATAAAATAATCCGAAAAGATAGTTTTATTTTATATATTTATGAAAACTTACAATTTTAATAATTTAATTATTCTGGAAAACTTTCTCCATAATCAAGGAGAGTGTGCGAGCTGGCAACCCCACTGGTCATCGCTGTAATCCTACATCACACCTCATCTAATCCTACAGATCCCTATTTAGTCATTCACCATCACGGTCACTCAGAAATGCATAAAGGAATGTTTGTTAGGATAAATTATATTATTAAACACTAGTCGTTACACGTGACGTCATTTGCAATTATATTTACATACAAGCAATAATATACATATACATGCATATATAGATGATTACCTAGTTAAACCTTTTTACTACGTTGCATTATACCTAGTCCTTCAAATTACTCGAAGTTCCTCTAAAAGTTTAACCAGACCGAGATCCTAAAGTAAGAGAATTCATAGAATATAATATATTTTTTCTTTAAGAATTATATTCTTAAAGCAAATTGTAATTTACTAGTGACCTTTCAGAGGTTTAAACCTGCGGCCATCGAGGTTATTGACAAAACCTTTCAAAAATTAAACTATTCTGAAATATCAAATAACTGATCGTAATTGGCATTTAATTTTTTGAATATTATTATATTATTTACTAGTAAATAGTATATCTTGTATAGTCGATACTCGATTTAAGCCTGTTATGCTAAATAAATGCAATCCGTAATATTTTATAGAGGCTCTTTTGGAAACCTCTAACACGAACAAATCAATCGACTTTAGGACAAATGCGTGATATTCTACAATACAGTTAATTTCATAGTTTTAATTTAAAACCTAAAAATTTCTAGCATTAGGGTTTTGAAGGTCAAATTTAGGCCACGTAACATAATTACTAGATAAAAGACACTTGAATTTTCACGCGGCGAATTAAAGGCGGCGGCCGCTTTGTCGGCATACTTCAAAGGGAGATAACGTAGGTACAGTGGACAGAACAGGTAATGATTGAAAAAATGTGATTGGAGTGTCTTGAATGGAATTTATTGGCCTTTATTTTAGAATATAAATCTACGTTTGGTTTTTTGTAATTTGTACTATAGAATATTTTAATATTGTTTGATAAGAATGAATGACTTGAATAATTTATGCTGTGTTTGTTTTGTTTAAAATCTAAATAAAATTTAGAATCTGTATAATAATAAAATTGGCCAACTGTCTCTATTGTACTTAGCCTTTTTTAACGTCCCACTGCTGGTCACGGGCCTCCTTTTAATGCAAGGGGGATCAATCCACATTCCACCACGTTGGGCAAGTGCGGGTTGGTGGACTAAGCATATTTTTTGAAAAACTTGCTAGGTTCTTTGAAACTTCATAAAACTTTCAGACATGCAGGTTTCCTCACAATGTTTTCTTTTACCGTAAGACAAGCGGTAATCATGCCGAAAATTATACACACATGAAAATATCAGAGGCACGAAACCCGGGATTTGAACCCACTTCATTTGGTTTCCAAGCACTACCACTATAAAATATTATCTATTAATTATAAATACAAAAAGTCTCTATAGGGACGCATCTGAGCAAAGCAGGGTGAGTCATAGTTTCAATAATAAAAACAAGAATACAGTAATATATTTAGCTTTGTTTTGGAAGATATCTTTCGTAAAACACATTGCGCCAACTGTACGCGAAATCGAAGCTCAATCAGTGCGATAATAACCCAGATTTGATATGGATATTCCTCATTACGCTTGTTCAGATAAAAACGGACACTCGATATTGATATCGAAGGGTTAACTTCAATGTAATATGAAACATGTTTTTTGTTTTATATATATTTACAATAACATTAAAGAGATAGGTGAGTCTGATACCTACCTATATAGTATATGCAGGTGGAACCTTCCAGAAATAATGATGGAATTTTTAATATTCTTTTTCTATTGCAAAGCACCAAGAAGTGTTTTCAGTAAGAGTTAGGGTAAAGAAAGGGAAAATCGGTAGTTTAGTTCAAAACCCGAATTTAGTGTTTCTTGTCTAAGAAATTATATACAGACAGCCAGTCTACGACTCTTCCACTAGTTCAAATATGCTAAAAAGATTTAACGAAAGAAATCAGTAAAACTATTCATAAAATTTTAAGCATTCTTATACAATTATGTTTGATTCCCCATACAAACTTTCATCCTCATTTTCACCCCCTTAAGGGATGATTTCTGGGATTAAAACTATCCTATGTCCTTCACAGGGTCTCAAACTATCTTCTTACCAAATGTCATCGGTCCAGTGGTTTTTCAGTTTATAAGTTAAAAACATACAAAAATACAGTATAGATATATAAGTTTAATACGTGTAATCAGATCTCCATTCTGAATTTTGCTACAATTCCATAAGTTGTTATAGAGTAAAGAATCAACAAACCTCACTCACAATTTATTAGACAAATCAGCGATAATTAAGTAATTATTTATGTTGAAATAAAACGATCGACTTTCTTCGTAATTATCTATCATACTAAATCATAGGTAGTTATGATCACAGTTAAGTAAACATGTTTAACAAACGCTTTAAAATTACGAGCGATAGTAAAATATTACTTAGGTTCCAAGAAATGCAATCCCGTGGGATAATATTTCACTTTTGACGTAATACTTCGGGTCTGATACATAGATGGCGCTGTTCAAAAACGTTAAAAGGAGACGAAAACACTCGATATAGGTAAATAGAAATTTTTCTTCTATAGAAGAATTTCATTTAGATATACATATTACCGTACGGTAATATTACTAGCACATGCATAGATTCACTATTCTACGTAACATCATTCCACTTAAAGTGTAAATTTTTGTATGTATGTTTGTTACTACTATACGCTAAAGCTCGGATAAGGCTACAATTTTGGGCGTAATTTAGTAAACATGACCGGTAATACTACTGTTAGTTATACGAGTATAATATGTCACGCGATGGCGCTACCTGTATATATAAATACTAAATACACCTAAGCAAAGGAAGCAAAGAAGCTTTTTAATATTATATTTTCTCACCTGACATAGAACCCAGTTCGTGTGGATGGTGCGAGTTGTTGTTGCTTAGTGTTGTATTATTGTTGCTTTCTGCGTTCCCACTACTGCCACTTGTATTTGCTGTCTTAAACATAAGAAATATATTGTTCAAACTATCAGGGTGAATTTCATAGCTTAGCCTGGTTATTATTGAAAAATTCTTTTTTATGTATATTTTTATGTATTTTCTTTCGCAAATTATAGTTTTTACGTTACTAGTACCATTGACTGTAGTTAACACAATATTTTTTTATTTTAAATTTCTTGAGTTAAGTAGATCTTTTTTGTGCTAAATACATACCTACAGTATAAAAAAATAATAATGGAATTGAATGAATCGTTAATCGAACCGACATATAAACTAGAGATGGATGTTAAACATTACAAACACCTTAAGCGTTTTTTAGAAATAAGTTTATTTTGTTTAAATAAGGAAAATATTTTAGAAAAACATTTCATACTTACTTTTTCTAATACGTCATGATCTTCTCTACAATATAAAGCACCTCCTTCTCTTAACGCGAATTCATCACCTATAACAGAACGACCAAGTGATATAGATTGGTAAGAACTAAGAATATTTTCAAAATGTGTTAAATTTTTTGAGAAATATTAACAATAAGTATTATACGTATTTTTAGGTTTTGATATAAAGAAAAGAATTCATATCATAATAATTAAGAAGAATTAAGAAGCTTAGGTAAGTATATAAAATAATAAATTACATATAAAATAAGAGTGATTAGACTTTCAATTTTACAAACGCTACGCTTATAGAAAATTAAAAAATATATGAAAAAGGCAATTTAATTCAATTTTCTTCAATGCGCGCCAGTTGAGAACAGATTACTTCGCCAAGGTCACGAAGAATGAAGAAAATACGAAGGAGATTGGTCGGTAAAATGAGAAAGATTTATCTAATAGTAGCTATGTCTCGTTAAAACAAGTTATCTATATATTTCTGATTCTCTATTAACGATATCTATTATAGGAAATCATTTTGCTATTACGTTACCATATTACTTACCAGGAATTAATTGTCGTGCGCAAGCGCAACACCTAAAACAGTCGATATGATATATCTTCGTCTTCGCTCGCATCACGAAGTCGTTTTTACTAAAGGAAGCGCCGCATTTGTCGCATTTTGTACCAAATAACCTGTGGACAAACGAAATAAAGATATTTTGTATTTTTCATTTGACTAATTTTTTATACAATGATTATCTATACTAATATTATAATGCTGAAGAGTTTGTTCCTTTCTTTGGTTTAATCTCAGGAACTACTTACTAAGCCGATTTGAAAAATTCTTTTTGCATTAGATAGCCAGTTAACTGATGAAGGCTTTATATCATCCCGGAAAAATGTACGGTTCCCGTGGGATAATTTGTTTTTAGAGACGAACCCGAAGATAAGCGAGAGTGAGTCGCTGTACGTAATATATGTGTGGATAAATTATTTGTTTAATGTAGGTAGGTATATGTTAGTATATACTTTTTTCTATTTATTTGTTTTATATATTATGTTTGCACACCTTTTCTGTATTGTTAAGTTCTAAAAAACAACGTTTTTTTGTAAAGTTTGTTTCTACGACCGCCTTTTCATGCTTCATTCTTTCGCGAAACTTCTGTACCTATGTATTATGTATTTATTATGTGTGTATATAAAGTAATAAATTATAGGAAAAATATAAATAAAATATATTATTTAAATAGCCTATTTCGATTTATTTCGTTGTTGAAACATATACAATTTTGCATTAATAAGGTAATTACGGATTTTTATATATAACTTAAATTTAAAAAGCGTAGGTTTGATTCCTGTATAAACAAATTATATTAAACATTATAGTAATTCAGTCATTTCTTTGCCTATTTATCATTCAAATCGAAATATAAGTACATATATGCTTGTATTAAATAAATAGCGAAATTTAAAAGACAGCAAATTTTATTTTAAAGTAAAAGTATTTATAAAACATTAATACCTAAACGAACAGACGGTATATTGTACAGCCACCCTCCTGTCTATGTACATATAACTGTATAGGCGATGCTTTTAGTGAGATTGCGAGGGTGGTTCTAAGTGCCGGTCAATACTCCGAAATACGTTTACGGTTTCCCGCTTTTCACGTAACGGTCTGCAGTGGGACCGTGAACTGTTTGAGTTTTTACCTTTTTAAAAGGAGGTTTTAAGTCATCTGTGTAGTTTATGGTTTGTTTTTTTTTTTAGTTTTTTTTATTATATTTGTTAAATAATTAGTTTAATATTAATTTATATTTTTAAAAGGAGCTTTAAAGTTACCTATGTAATTTATGAATTGTTTTGTTTGTTTATTTATTGTGAAATAAATTTTTGTGTGTAAAACCTTTTACGATAGAGTACAACTCATGTTTTTATTATATATATATATTATTGTAATGTTTCATTAAAATCCATCCAGTACTATTTGCTTTTTGAAAGAGTAACAAACATCCATACATTCGCATTCATAATATTAGTAGGATTTCGTAGTTTAACTAAAAATAATAAAGCTTACTTGAATCGCTTAGGTCTACTTAATATATGACTCTATAAAAAAAGGGGATGATTGTGTAGTGATTGCATATAAAATAGTGCGCGCGAATTTAGTACTATAAATATTACGTTTGCTTTTCTATTATAAGGACACTTGGAATTCAAGGCCTAATGGAAGCCAGGGCGATTCCATAGTTAATACTGAAATATAAACCTAACCATTGATCTATTACTATGTCTATAAGACAATAAGGTATGTTGTTAAATCCACCCCTCATAAAAAGGGTTAATATAGGGTAGGGCCTTATAATTTTACAGTACCTACTTACGTTTTAAAGGAAAATTAAACTGAGTCTTTATGTACGAAGATGCAAAGAGGGGTTACATATTGTGCATTTAAAAAATGGTAACATTTTTAAATTTAAATGTCTGGTAGTTTTTTTTAATCTGTGCCATATCTTTTTTGTTACATTAATTGTTATATGCATATATTATTAGGTCTTTGTCTTTCAATTAATCTTTTTAAGCTAGATACATAATTTATTTATAGCTAATATAAATAAACATAGATTTTTAATTTAAGTCTCATATTTTGATATATTGAAAGAGTTTAATAGGCTAATACGTTATTAGTAAAATAAATAAAAACACGTTGCTCTTTTCTTTACTGACCATTCCTAATTATGACACTTTGCGTGATATCCACATTAATATGTTAATAATAAACTATACAAATATTGATGTACATTCGCATATGTAAACGGTGTCAAGTCGCGAGCGCCACCCAGTTAAACAATCACATCTGGGCCGTTTGACTGACAGAGGAGTGCAGCTGCGAAAACAGACCACACAAATTGTCAGTGGAAAGTTAAATCCTTATATTACACTAGTGTCTTCTCGCTGACATGCTCGAATGGAAAGTATTTACTTTCTTTTCCTTCAATTTGATCAGAGCTGTCTATAAATAAGTTCCGGACTAAATTGTTGTCGAAATAATGATTGATAAGCGGAATAAAATAATATCCGTTCCATAGCTTACGCGTAATAGACTGAAAATATTTTTTGTATTCAGCCCTTTTTTACGTCCCACTCATAGATTTACTTTATTTTAAATCTGTGGTCTTATTACTTTACACGGGCCTTCCTTTATATGCGAGAGGGATTCGGTCATTATAGTTCATCTCGCTGTCCAAGTGTTGATTGGCGATATATATCGCATAAAGATTTTCTCAGGATGTATCCTTTCGCGGATATACATAGAAGGCTTAAAATTAATCAATTATGTAATTAAAAATCTAAAACAATGTAAAAATTTTGCAGTTCTTATTTTTTTTTTAGTTCATATATACCTAGGTACATTTAGTAATATCAAAATTGTGAGATTTTAAGATTAATTAAAAACAAAACAGTAATTTTTTTTATTTATTTCTAGAACACATTTTCATAATTTTCTAAGGGTTTTTTTAACTAAAAATAAGTAATCGCTTCCGCTAATGAAAATGCTCAAACACATGTTTAGACACGGTAACGAGAGATGTCGAGACGGGCTCGAATTTCGCTAATTGTCCGGCACGAGAGCAGATTTAGGGTTAAAATAATATACTGTTTCATAAAATAACTTTTATCATAATATGTTTTTACTTTTAGTAAAATCGAACACAGAAAATGATCCCTAGGAAATAATCGACATAAGAAGTAATTATGTAGTAATTGATTCTAGTTCTCTTTTTATTTTATTTTTAATTAAATAGAGGCATGAACAGTACAAAAATAAATAATTTATAAAAAAGGCGAGGAATTATTTCATTTATATTCATTAAAAAAAATATTTATGGAAATCGGTTTACAATTCCCAAAGATATCGCAATACACAAAAAATAAACACCGGAATTGACTTCCTGTTTTTTAAGTCAATCAAATAAACGTTATTAAAGGGTACCTATTTTAAAACTTTTGATTTAATTCTATGTAATCCCATAAACAATTATATTTTTTTAATTTATTATACTTAAATATAAGTACACAGGTACCTATTTTTATTTTAACAAAATTGTACTCATTGTATTTCCTATATCCAACTCTTAACGGTGATGTTTGGACAGCGTGTAAGAAGATACGTGCGTCAGCTCTCAAATTCCGCTAATTGCGGGGTGTGAGGTCGGCATTAGATAAAATATTATGATTTTTCATTTTAATGGAAAATGCTTGTTATATAGATGTATTATAATTATTATATATTAAATAATAACAATTTGTTTTCTACAAAACTCTATAAAGCTTCAAAGTTACGCGAATCATGTAAAATTTACCTTCGAGTTTATTTTAATCTAGATGACATATACAAATAAAATCTTTAGCTATATATATAATCTGTTAAAATTGGAGGCTTGTAAAATCTCTCTATTACGAAGCACCTCTCAAAAGTATGACGAGGGTTGTATAATTTATCTTTGCCTTTCTTTTTTAAAATATAAATATGTTTATTCAAATAAAATAAACTGTTTCTGGTGGCACCAATTGGCGCTACTGGTGAGTGAGGTCCTATCATTGTCATTAATAAAATTAATACAATAATTATAATTATGTTGGATTTTAAATAATCATAACTAAATAAATAAAATATTGTCAAGAGTAAGCCCATTCTTAATAAATAAAAATATATTAACTTTTTCTTAACTCTTCTTTTAAACCAATAAGATTTATTATGCCGCACCGTGTTTGCCATAATGAATGAGAAATGGCACATTCTTTATAATAATCATGAATATTAGTGAAGATCCGCAATAAAAAGCTCGCAAACAGTAATCGTTCAGTACCATTTGCCATTTCTAGAGTCCTCACTCTACACTAGCGCCCTCTCGCGGCGAATTTAAGTGAGGTAACCCTACTTGAATAGTAAGAAAGAATGAAGCCCGAAAGCTAATGACAAAGGAAGTTACTTATAAACCGGTATATTTTGTTATTATTATAAAAATGTATAAACATTAATCAAACAAAAACTATTAATTGAAATGTCCTTCCTATATAAAAAGCTTCCGGATTACTTAGTAGATTTTCAATACTAATAATAAATATAACAGGTAAGGATGTAAAAAAATACGATATGTAAACAAACGTATCCGTAAAGGGTTACTCTATTTTTACATTATTTGTTATAAATGTTGCAGACAATAATATATTACTTTTTAAAATTTTAGGTTTGATTTCCTGTCGGAGTAAGTACATATATAGGTACATACAATTAATGAGGTTCGCATTTTTTTACATTAATTCTAAAATAAATTAATTAGACCTATTTTACATTTTAGATTAGATTGCCTAATTATTAACATAGATCCTTTGAAAATAATTAAGCGTAGTAATAACAATTTTTGTCAAGTTATTAATCAAAATATTGTTAATTACGCCTAAATTAAAAAAAAAAGTTAATGGAATATAAAATATCACAGTGATATAGTATTATAAAAATAAATAGTGGATTAAATAGAAAAAACTAATCGATCTTCCGAACGGAAACAGACCATAGACGTATCGGGTTCCCGCCGCCCGCTGTCAAACTGACGTTTGTTTTGGCGCCAAAATACATAACGCCCGTTTGTTTTTCTCGGCACATTCAAAGCGGCAAAGACAATTCGTGTTACGGCCAAATTTATTTTTACTTTAAGTCAGTCAATTTTGTACTCTATTCTCTAACAAAAGGAACGACGAGAGGTGGTTATCTAAAGAAGCATAGCTTGTTTGCTGATGTGTAATTCTATATTTTAGCCGCGAGATAGAAGGGTGAAAAGGTAAACAGCCAAGTTATTTTAGTGAATTCATCTTTAGATTTTGTCTGTGTTTAAAAAGTGGCGCCGCGATGCTTGATTGACATGTTATGAATTTTTTTTAAGATGAGATTTATCGTAAACCATAGACTAAATATGGAATGTAAACGGAGTTTATAAATGAAGTTGTAATATAAACTGTTAATGTGGGGCAGATAATCAGTTGTGATAATTTTATATTAAAGACTTTTTGCAGAATCGGACAACTTTTTTTCTTATTTCTTAAAACAAAGCAATGAACTTTACGAAAGTTTGTTGGTACATCGTGTACTGAATTTGGAAAATTGTAATACATAAATGTTGTTATTAACTAAAAGGCGCGTTGAATTCAAATCAAAATGAAAAATATATAGGTTTTAACGACACGTTTAGGTCACTTTATATGTACTTGCTGTGCCAGCGGTCGTGGGTTCGAGTCCCGCGGGGGGAATTCATTTGTTTGATGAGTACGTATGTTTGTACTCCAATCATGGGTGTTTGTTTGTATAATATGTATGTATTAAAAGTTATATAATATGTGTAGTGTATCAACTATCTGGTATCCATAGCACGAGCCTCGTAGCTTACTATGGAACTAGATGGTGCTGTGTGTTAATGTCCCGACATATTTATTTATTTATGAAAAGTCATGTTGTCTTTTAGTCGTACTTGGATTTGATACGCTACATAAACAGAAGAATCAATAGAATGAAATTTCATTTAATCAACTAGAGTTTTACAAAGTTTTGAATCGTTCAAGAAATTTAAAGAGAGTGTGAGCAAATATACTCTATGAGTGTGAGGAAGCCACCGCCCGCTCCCAAGGCAACCAGCTAGAAATCCAACAGATGCTTTTTTAATTGTCAAGGTTATTTTTAATAAAATATAGTAGCTATCTATATGAATTCATATACAATGAACTGAATAGTCTTTGATCTTCAAACTTTCATCTACAATAACCTCTTGAACACTAATTATTATGTTTTACTTATCTAATATGCATCACTTTGTACCTTATATATAATAAGATTAATTGACGTTAAAGTTAAAAATAAAGACTTATTGAAATTAAACTTCTTTTGGCGCGTTATCGAAAAACATGATGAGAGTGATTTTTTTTACGATGCGACAGATTTAGACTATAGTATGAAGTTAGTCGTATAGCTGGGACACGTGTTTGGTTCTCGTGAATGCACGATTACCTAAATTCCATCTTTTTTACCCAAAATGGTGGACAATTTATCATTTCTATTGTGACCTTTATGATGTTATAGCATATCAAATGAAACGGCGCGGAAACAATAAGCAAAGTGACGTATTATAAATCCAATATGGTGGACTCACAAATATGGCGTACTGTTTTTTTTATGCACCCCCATGATATGGATATGAACTGAGAAGAATAAGAATAAAAAGAAAGTTTAAAATATTTAAAAAAACGAAACAAAAAAAATCTTTTCGAGTTACCTATTCATGTTTTATTATGTAAAAGAAGTATAACTTCTTACGTGCGTACACACTTTAAAATTTTTTTAGTAATATGAATATAATTGAAACTTTACATTTTTTTATACTATGCTTTCATTAAATCCATACTAATATTATAAATGTGATAGTGTGTTTGTTTTTATGTTTGTTTGTCTTTCTTTCACGTCGAAACGGAGTGACGGATTGGCGTGATTTTTGGTGTAGAGATAGTCGAAGGGCTGGAGTGACATAGGCTACTTTTTACCGCGGGAGATTATCTTATTCCCACGGCAAAACACGTTATAATACAATCCAAATAAATAGATATGTATGATCTGAATTACTTGAAACTTGGTATTTATGCTATTCAACAAAATTAAATAAATACGTGTTTTAGCATTTTTCGAAATTAATCCTTTATGAGGGTGAAATAGGGAATGAAAGTTTGTAAGAAATTACCTTTTTAAAGATTTTTTGTGGTTTTAGCGCGAGTAAAGCCGCGGGTTCTGCTAGTATTAGTATAAATTAAATCGACATATTACGTAAGCAATTTTTATTTGAATTTAAAGTTAGTACAATCACAACATCAAGAGGTAACTGTGATAATGCGGTTTACAGTCTTATTGCATACATGTGTCATATTCGTCACAATGTAAATAAACAGTTTCGTATATTTGCTTTTGTTTAATGCTACATGATTTACGTATTTTATGCTAGAAAGTGAAAGCCGTACAAAAATTATATTTAGAGTTCTAAATAAAACTATTTTTTAAGATTTTTTTACGGATTTATTTTGATTTGGTTTCCGATTTTTCGAATGCTTTATAGCAATCATGACCACGGGAGAGACTAAGATTTTAGACGTCTTAAAAGTTATTATATATTTTTACTTAAAATATCTTATATTTGCTTAAATTTAAGAAAGTACAATATTTTGAGTTTTTGTACTCCACTCGTTTTCTTGAGCTGTTACGGGGTACCTATATATATATATATATATATATATATATATATATATATATATATATATATGTATATATATATATATGTACCTACTAGGTGCCTTTTTACTTGAACTTTACTGTGACTTGATATTTGAATCTACTTTATGTCAATTTTTTATACGCTCAGACGTCCATAAAATATGTTATTTATTTCGATCGTTAGGCGTGAAACAAAAGTAGGGCCGCTACAGATAACTTTGAATTTATGAGTTGTGTAAAATAACTTTTTATAGAATAAAATAACGTAAGGCTGTACAATTTAATGACAATGTTCAGTTTAGTAGTTTAGAATTAACTATCTTTAAAGTCAATAATTAAAGTTAAGGCTCTTTAATATTACCTTTAGGTTTTATAATAGTGCGGAGTACCTACTAAATTTAATTAGGGCAGTGGTAGCCCAGTAGTACGCGCTGACTTGGAGAACAGAGTGAAACGGGTTGAAATCCCGGGTCTCGCACCTCTGATATTGTCATGTGCGAATCTTTTCTAACATGATTACCACTTGTCTTACGGTTAAAGAAAACATCGTGAGGAAACCTGCATGTCTGAGAGAACCTAGCAAGTTTTCGAAAGACATGTTCAGTACTTCCGCACTTGGCCAACGTGGTGGACTATATCCTGATGCCCCTTGCGTTGAAGGGAGGCCAGCAGTGGGACGTTAAAAAGGGCTACATACATACATACCTTCTAAATTCCAATATACATTTATTCAAAATAAAATATCTATTTCGAAGTCATTAATAGTAGGTATTTCAAATTCTCAATAAAGAATATTAAAAGCTCTCATTTCACAGTGTAGCAAGTACATACATATCGATCTATACACATCATGTACCTACTTTAAACGTCGGTATATAAAAAAATATGTTGGGACATTAGCACACAGCACCATCTAATTCCATGGTAAGCTACGAGGCTTGTGTTATGGATACCAGATAGTTGATACATTACACATATACAATTTTAAATACATAAATATTATAAATATGATGACAGACATATATACATATATGATACATGACCGGAGTACAAACATTCATGCTCATTACACAAATAAATCCGCCTAGCGGGACTCGAACCCGCGACCGCAAACGTGTCGTCACGTAGGTATATATATAATTAACCCATAAATAATAGGTAGGTACTTAAACATATCTCACCTAGTATAATCTCTCTTGCAATACGTCTTCCCATCTCGCACAAAGCACGTACAGGATTCATCTAAGAACTGCCTACATTCTTGACATTTCAAGCAAGCGGCATGCCATTCTAAGTCGGGCGCTACTCGAAGTATATATTGGTCGTGTATCTGACCCCCGCACCCGACGCAGAGGGACAGACGTAGCTTTTCTGTAAAGGAAAATAACGTTTTAATTTAAATCTATACATATAATAAAATTGTAACCAAGCCGAATCAGTACATTAAATATTTTTGGAAAATCTTATTGAAATAAACACTATTATCGATACAAAGGCCGAATCTATAGTTTTTAAAATTTTTGTCTGTATGTCTGTCTGTCTGTTACCGCATCACAGAAAAACCACTGGAGGGATTCATCAAATCCTGAGCGGAGCAAGGGTGAGTATTAATTATATAGGAAATTAATGAATTATATATCTAGTAATTATACTCGTAAAGAGATATTATGCAAAATTTCGTGCTTCTAAAATCAGCGGTTTAGGCTTTGTGTTGTCTGACAGTCAGTCAGCATCAATTTGTTAGGTAGAAATATGTATTCGTAGTGAGGTAGGTAGATTGTGATAAATATAAGTACGAGTACATTAGGGCCTATGCACACGATGACTTTAACATGCCGTCGACGCGTGCTTTTTTCCGTTTGTATCGATGCAAACGCTATCTTCATTTTTTAGATTTATCAGGGAAAAATACGTTTACACGATGTTCATTCATAATACGTGCATTGTGGTATTTTATTACCTATGCCTTTTAAGTTAATTTGCGCGGAGTAGTTGCAGCACGCTTAAAAAACGCAGTGTAAATAGGCCATTATATCTACATAAATGCATAAATTGCTTCATCATAAATACAACTAGCAAAATTACATAGGTTAATGCTGATAAGGCGACGATTTCTTAAGTAAAATAGAATAATCAAAAACTATTTTCTCATATCAAGAAGAAATATTTACACCTTAGAGAAATTCTTCAAGAACTTATAATACAATATAAACAAAATACTGTTGCATACATCGTTATATTAATTTATAGTTATTTCAAAGCTTAGAAACGGGTTAAAACTTAATAGCTAAATATACATAAGAATATTTTTTACAACCAAGAAAACGATAAAAGATCTATTAAAATATCGATTATAAAACAAACAAACGAGCGATTATTCATAAAATGCAAATAACTATTGATAAAATGTCCAAACATAAACATGGTATACAATTATGAATAATTTATCTGTGCTCAAATCGATATCCAATGGGCGTGGTGAGGCCACACCCACTTAGCTCTCTCTCGCTCTACGTGTCTCACATTTCATACCTTTGTTGTAACAAAATGATGTTTAATAACGGTTTTTATAATTTTCATAGAAAATGTGTTGTATTTTCTTTTATATACTGAATCTTCTTTTATATATATAATACTTATAGTTTAGGTAATGGGGGTGTGTTTGTAGCATTTGTTAAGTTTAGATCGTCTAGGTATCTAGACGTTATACGGTAGGTACGGTACGGTTCATGACATTAAATATGGACTATGTAAAGTAGCTTTATTACCTTAAGCGACAAATCTTGGCTTTGCTCGGGTTCGTTCCTAGATGCCTAACAATATGTCAGGTAATCCAGTCTATAATCAATCTGTGTATCTATTTCCTAAATTTCATCCAAATCGGTCCACCAATTTCGGCGTGAAGGAGTAACATACATACACACATACAACTTTCGCGTGTATACTAATAGTACGTATTATTAACATATCATAGTCTAAGTCTCAACAAATTGTTCTAAGAGCTTGAAATTATATAGGTTATTTACTATTCAGATATAAAAAGCTTTGGAATTTCTAAAATTCAATTATAAAAATTTTAAAATTTTTATCTGAGTAGTAAAAAAACCTTCCTAAATGTAAGAAATTTTGTTTGTTACCTACTTTATTCCTGATACTTAATCTAGGTCTATTTTGTGTCTAGATTATTTATAAAACATTAAATGGAATATCCGTTTTCAAATAAATATAAATGCTTAAAATATGAATCATATAAGATTTTTACATTTTTTGCACAGCACACACACATTACTCACAAGTCCTCTACATTCTCAATGACACAAGTTCATGTTGAAATATGAATAATCTAAATATTACGATAGATCAACAATACATTATTTACTGAATAAAATTGACATTTTTAAATCTGATAAAGTAATATAAAAAGCTCTTCTCATAATAGGTAATATGTTTAAAGTTTTTCTTTTTTATTTGATGAATGATGAGCGCTGGTCATTTAATAATTGGATAGGGAAATATTGTGCTTTCTAAAGATCGAAGTTGTCTTGAAGAATAAACCTTGGTTCTTCCTTTCGTAAATTAAACCTATATTTATTATATAGAGAATTTTTGAAACAGACTAAAAAGTCTAATCAATTTCGGTACAGCTATATTTGTATGTGTGGTTTTGTATACATTGCTCGATATTGTCAATAAACTGAACATATTATAAAAAAAAATATGTTTTGGCTTAGATGTTTTACTGCTGTCCGAATAAAACTTTATTTTTTAATACTTAGGCATTTTTTTTACTAACCTACTTACCGGATGAAGAAAGAGATTAGTCAAAAATTAGCGATAGATATCTATTATAAATTATCGAAGTGATTCTTGAGATATAAAGAAAACATACAGACATAAAAACATATCTGGTGTTTTATAATATACAATGTGAAACTGTAAATTGTGAAAGGAGCGTGACGAAACGGTTTTTAATCAGTCTTCGTTAAATTTCTTAATTTTCAGTATTTTATGACGAACTTATGAATAAATGCAATAAACCTTCACTGTTTTGGGATTCCTCGTATGTTATTTAAAAAGGTCTTTGTTATTTTTATTTAAAATTTGATGTCTTTCTATGTATCTTTATAATAGGATTGATGATAATTTTAAAGTTTTAATAGTAGATAGGTATACATTTGCAAGATAAGAAACTGTATTTTTTAAAATAAATCCTTAGCAAAGGTCGACTAACAGTTCTCACTAGGAATCATAATATATTTTTTGAGAAAATATTTGTTCTTTTTAAGTTTTAAAACAAATGGCACTTTTAATGTTTTTTTTTAATACGACAAAGACCTTAAAACCTTTGTCTCTCCCGTCACTATGATTGCTGAGAGCATTCGAAACGTTGCAAATCAAAAATCAAAACAAATCCGCGAAAAAAACGAAAAACTGGTTTTGTGTAAATAAAAATAGTTTTTTAATATATGTACCCACTTACTTAAAGTATTTACACAATTTTGATAAGCTAAAATGTATGAAACTCATCGAAACGAATCACGTCATCAATCGATTCACAATTGGCGAAAACACCTACAAAAATACAAACGAGTTTAGGGTCCTCATTTTTGAAGTCAGTCAAAAAAGACAAAACCCCTTTCTCTTAAAAACGGATAAGTTCATTCAAACAATTAAAAAAGTTGTAAACCCAATTTCAATTCTTTCAAAGGACATGAACCATTCAGCATTGAGGTGGTTGCTTCCGCATATATTACTTTACGAGGCTTTATTTTTTTACTAATTGCGTTATTATGTTTGATGGATAACGGTTTTTATTGTTTAAATCTTGCTTTTAATCTGTGCTTCCGCGATTTTTAATTGCTATTAATTATTATAGAATGAACATTTAGTTTATGACTGTATCTTATACTTTTTAAGTGCACTTTTTAGCTCTAACGGATTTCATAATACTTTCTTAGATTTACGCGAATATTTGACATCTGTACTAATATTATAAAGAAGTAAAGTTTGTGAGTTTGTGACTTTGTAAATTGTGAGTTTGTGACGTTGTAGGGGGTAATCTCTGGATCTACTGAACCGATTTAGATAAAATTTGGTAAGAAGATAGTTTGAGACACTGAGAAAGACATAGGATCTTTATGGCTTTAGGACTAGCTTTATGGGATTAGGACTTTTTATCCCGGAAATCATCCCTTAAGGGGGTGAAAATGGCGATGAAAGTTTGTATGGGACGAACCCGAGCGAAGCAAGGGAGAGTCGCTAGTTTTAAATCAAACTATCTTTGATCTAACGAATATTTTGGTTTAGTTAGGTTCAATGTTACCAGAATGTTTGCTTATAAAGGATCAGTTTTTTATTAACTGATTATTGATTTTAATAGTTGCTAACAAATCGATTGTTTTATGCAACGTTCTACAAAGTATATGATAAGTAAGATACGAGCTAGAAACCGCACTATTTATTGGTGAGAAGGGACAACACAATTTTTTACTGCAAGTTGTTATGAGACAATGCTTCTGATCTTTGAGAAATCAATCGTTCGCTGAATCAAGTCTCTCAAATTCTAAGACTACTACGAATTTTATTTGTATACTTTTATATGTAATATTGATTAAGTTTTAAGACTGTTTAAGAAATTTAACGATCCGTTAACACATTAAAAACTACTTGCTAAACTAAACAGTCCCTCAGAGTGCTTGTTATTACACTTAAGACACAGTGGTGAGACTGGCCCTTAATTAGCGCGACGGTGAAGTCTCAAAATATTTTATGGAAGTCATACTTAGCACTTAGAAACTGATTAAGAAAAACGGTAGAAATAACTTTCGATCAAAAAGCGCAACTTACTTCACACGTCTATGTTTTGACCGAGTTTAAAAGGGATATCAATACTAATATCATAAATGCGAAATTAACTCTGTCTGTCTGTTACCTTTTCTCACTTAATACGCTGAACCGATTTAGATGAAATTTGGTATGAAGATAGTTTAAGACTCTGGGAAGGATATAGGATAGAATTTATCCCGGAAATAATCCCTTAAGGGGGTGAAAAGGGGGGTGAAGTTTGTATGGGGAATCAATCATTTCTCAATTAAGGGCTATAAAACTCATCATAGCTATATGTATATATAGTCTATCTATTTCATACGTTTTGACATACCTAGGGACGAACCCGAACGAAGCGGAGGGTGAGTCGCTAGTCTATATATAAATATTCAATGGAAAACAGTTATGCACCTTTCCTCCTCCGTTTGTCACCTGTTATTTTTATTTAGTTTCGGTTTAGTCAAAAAAAATGGAAATGTTTTTTTATACAGATAGGTAGGTAGGTACACATGTTTTTCTTATATTTTCAATAATGATTGTGGTCG